GCCATAGTGGTCCGAGAGCCCTAATATCTATAAAAGATCATGGGTTCGAAAACGGAAAGAAACACAAAAAAGTATGTAAAAGTAAGAAAAATAATAAGTATAAAAAGGCTGCATCTTTTTGTTAATCTAGTTAATAATAATATGCATGCAAAGCTACTACTTAGCAATTATAATAACTAAGATAAAAATTTACGTAAAATGAGTATGTAATATCAACATGGATCAAACAAAGAAATATCAACATGAATAAACAAAAGAGAACTTTCACCGTTGTTTTTGAGATATATATAATACAGTAAATGTTTGAGTTTCTGGTATAGAGAATCCCAAATATGGGCAACTATAGAGCATACTCCTCGAAATATTTAGAAGTAGATAGTATTATTTGTTATAAATTTTTAGAAGTAGGTATAAATATACCTGACTGAAAACTGGTGCTGATAACGTGTTAAAAATACTTTACTGATGATAAGATATTTATCAGTGAAGGGATGAAGATAGGAAGTAAGTAGTAGAATGGTAGGAAAACTCTTTTCTTGTTTTTCAACTTAAGTTCACAATACGTGAACTTTCATTTATATAGCCAAAATAATTGAATACAATAATATATATTATTGTACTTTATACAAATTATTGTACTTAGTAAAGTCTTCATTGACTTTAATTACCACATGTGAAGTTCAATTCAATCATGTTTCTCAACAGGAAAAACATTAAACATTTGTTTTTTTTTCCCAAATAAAATTAATTTTTATTTACATATTTTTTACTCTTTTAGTCTTTACTATAACTATGTCTAGTAATTCCAAACTAAAATATATCCGAGCTAATGCACGTGATATATTCTATGCGACGAAAGTATACTTATATATTTTGGTTCCTCAAAAGAGTGGAAAATTTAGTGAAATAGGTACTTATAATTTTTTATTTATGCAGAATTTGGGGATTAAAGGTTTGGAGAGAACTGTTATACAATGAAAAAAAAAAAACCTAGCATATATGGTGGAGTAGCATTAATACTAAGTATATAGATAGCACTCGATTCGAGAAAGACCTCTTGGTGCAGTAGCCCAGAGGTCGTCTTGTCTCCTTGAGGTGCGAGGTTTGATAAGCACAGATCCCATCCCCCTATTCTCTCTAGATCTTAAAAGCAAACCATTAATCTGTAATACTGCTTTTGCAAAGGAAGCAATACTGCAAACAACGAAGACTGCCTTTCCCAAAGGAAGCAATATCACAAACAGTTTACTGCCTATTGGTGGCGTTGTTCTTGTAAGCTGTGCATATAGAAACATTATTGGGCACATAAGGATATATATGTAACTTTTTTTACTAATATGTATGACAGGCGCCACGTCTTTGAAGTAACTCGAATTTCAAACTACGACTACAAATGTAGCATTCAAATTTTACAGTTTGGCAAGAAATTTCAGGAACAGGAAAACCATTCCAAGGCTGAATTATGTTGAACATGTTAAAGGATGAAATCACATTAAATGACCATGCACATAGATACACTCTTATGTTGGCTTGTAGTATTTTGTGGGCACAAACGGCATTTTAGTGACGACTCCTTCATAGGGCTTTCCCCTGACCAAGATGCTAGCCTTGGTGCCAGCCTTGTGGTTCCCAGACTTCACATAACCCATGGCTATGTTTTTCTTAAGGCAGGGGCTAAATCCTCCGCTAGTAATTTCACCAATGTTTTCTCCTTTTTCATTCTGAATTTCACTGTGACCTCTAGCTGGTGGTCCTGAAGATATAAATCCTACACGCCTTATTGATGGACCGTCAGCAATTTGTTTGAGAATTACTTCTGCACCAAGAAAATTGCCTTCTGCCCTCCTCCTCTTTCCAATAGCCCATGTTAGCCCAGCCTCAACAGGTGTAATGTGCTGCTCAAGGTCGTTGCCATATAGACACAATCCAGCCTCTAGCCTTAAACTGTCTCGAGCACCCAGCCCTGTAAGTCTTACCTTCCCTTCAGATTTCTCTAAAATTAGCTTTGCAAGCTCTACAGCGTTCTCATCAGGAACTGAAATTTCAAACCCATCTTCACCAGTATATCTGAAAAAGAAAACGTCACTTTAAAGTCAATGAAAAATCAAGGAAAAGTAATTGAATCCCCAATTCATAAGGTATATTGCACGTTCACTTGAGCATGAAGTGGTAAAACAAAATTTAAAAAGTTACATCATGCAAGGTATGTAAATTTTCAAAGTATAAGATATGGCATTGTGCATATGTCGCCTCAAGCTTCTACTTAACAAATCCAGTAGCCATATTGAAGGAGGGAGGATCATACCCTGTCCTAGTGAGATAGCAGGGGAATCCACTGACATCCGTCATACAAAATTGTCCGAAGTAAAACTTACTTAGATCATACTTGGTCAATTGTTGAAGAACAGGGGCAGCAAGTGGGCCCTGATAAAACACATTAATATAAGTATCATTTATTGGCTGTACAGGGAAAGGAAAAACAATAATGAAATTTTTACATCTTAGAATACAAACCATAAGTGCTGAGATAAAAAGAAATTCAAGATTAGTTGATCAATAAATTATGGAAGACAGTAAAAATAATTGAACTGTCAAATATGCAAAAGTTGAACAAAAGCTTCACCCTCCTAAAGGAAGAGATGTCAAAAGGATTGAAATGCCAAAAATTTGTTTGCACAAAAGGGTGTAATTCAAAGGTTAGACTTCCTCTCCAAAAGATGAAGAGGTTTCTGAATAGCAATGCAGGTTGACCAATACCCCACCCCACCCCCTACTGAAACATAAATTAACTCAAACTAATGATTATTTAACAGAATCAGTTGAACACAATGTGCACATGGATGACAAAAAATTCAAGAGAAGAATAAAACAATATTAATCAATCTCCATGTATTACGCCAACTCAATAATATATCATGCATTCGTATTGGTAGGTAGGGGCAACATGAAGTTAGAGCATAAATATTTGCCAAGGGTAATTAATTGTACAATGAAGAAATAAATACCTGCAGAGCAAGAAGAGATCTCTCGTCGTGAATATGCCATGAGACATCGCCACCTTTAGACTTGAATGCTTTCATATGCTCCTCAATATGTGCCAGATCCTTATCTCTGCAACCCGCATTCACAACCAAATATATATGGTCATCTTTCACCTTGGTGATGACGGAATCATCAATTGTTCCACCCTTCTCATTTGTGAAAACCGACAAGGTTCCAGTGCCAGGAGAAAGCCCAGCAATATCACCAACAACAAGTTTTTCAAGGAAAGGAATGCAATCCTTTCCCTTAAGGCTCAACCCACACATATGAGCGACATCAAAGAGACTGCCATTCTCTCTACAATTAATAGTAGAATCCATTATTGAGTCCTTGTATTGAATCGGCATGCTCCAACCAGCAAAAGGCACCATTTTCCCACCATTTGCAACATGGAAGTCATAAAGAGCTGTCTTCTTGAGATCTCCTTCACTGGAAAAACATCGACGAGTAACAGCTTTCTTATGAGCCTGAGCAAGACGTTTAGTAACTGTTTGCCCAAACTGCCATAGCCCTCCTCTCATATCTTTATATCAAATCTTCTGAACACACAATGACAATAGCTTTTCAAGATTAGGGAAGATCATTTAGTTAGACTCAAGTTCTGAGTTTGTTTAAAGGGGCACACAAAGCCAATTACGATAACAAATGACTAGGAACATTTAGGTACACAGAATGTAAAGACCATCCGAGACATGTAACTTAAAAGTCCATACAATCCAAAACATATTGGGGTAAGAAAGAACACTATGATTTATTTATCATGGTCAGTTATCAACTCATCTGAAGGCACTACAAAAGTATTCCAAGCAACTAGATGATGCATACTATTACATGATCCTTCAATTAGAAGAAATTCTGCTAAAACAGTATCTGAATTCTGCACCAATTGTCAATAACTAAAAAATGGGAAACACAAATTAAACCTAAAATACCAAAGCACTCCCCTAGCAATAAGAGGTGTATAGGGAGCCTCAAAGGGCATTTATGTAAACGGGATTCGATCCGAGATTCCGAGGTCTTGGGTGCCCCCTATACTATAACTAATTAAACTAATTGGCCTCTTAACATTATTACATTCATGAAAATTACAATATAGCAACTGAAACAACATATATTAAATCATAAAAAAAATTAATCCAATGTAGCAACTGAAACAACATATATTAAATCCTGCTTCATTTCCCACAACCCAAATGATTCAAATCAGTGAGAAAAGGTCCATTTTCATGGTTTTGACTTGACATTAAACAGTTATATAAACCTAACATACTACCATTTGATTCAATTATCAAATTAAGCTCCAACAATCACGTTTAATTCATAAACTAATTGTAAACGATTCAAAATCAAATTAAGCTCCAATAATCACGTTTAATTCATCAACTAATTCTAAACAATAGTTCAATAATCAATCAATCTTAGAAGAAGCATAAATTGAATCAACGATTAATACTAAATTGTGAAGATGATTAAAAAAAACACCTTACCTCAGAAGAAAAGGTGCTTTAATGGAGGATTGAGAGTAGGCTTCAATGGAGGAGAAGGAAAGAGAGAGAGTGAGTGGAGTGAGAGGGAGTGCAGCAACCGCGAAATAGATGGATCTAATCTATGAATGACAAAAACATATCCAGGGGTAAAATCGTCATTTCACATATAAAGTTAACTTTAACCTCAAACGTCGCTAACAGGAGGTTTGGTGGATGAAGTTAACGTCGCTTTATTGTAAAATTGTCCCCTCCATTTTCATCATCAAAGTAGGTTGACCCTATCTTTCAATCTAATACACACCTTTTATTTTAAATTAGTTGTGATCTTTGTTTCATGTGTGTGTTGTTTGGTTGAGCATTATATTAGTCTCCCAAGATTTTATTTACTCGTACTTGTATAACGCGTCCATAATAGTAAGAAAATTTAGGATTTAAATTGTTACAAGTTGTGACGAAAATAAAAGACGCATATTTTTTTTACACTTGTATAATTTCTTGATTCTAAAGATGAATACAATAAATTAGGGATAATAGATAAGAAAAATAGTGAGTAGCGACGCTAGGTTTCTTTCACATCAAAGCTGAACAACTCCCTAGAAAATATGAAGAGCACAGGTCACATCTGACAATTGAATCTTCTTAAGATGAAAGTCTGATGTTCAAGTGAATTTAAACCTAAATGCCAAAACTGTACAACATCATCGGAGATGATATGATGGCGTTTCCATTCGCAACAAAATTATACACCATCTAAACTAAACTAGCCTCTACATGCCCGGTAAAAATAAATACATCACCACCTTTCAGAAGATGATTCTGTCACACTGAACTGAGGACAGGGACTTAGTGGCAGGAAGCTCCAATAAGCTCCTTGATGGTCAACACCCCCACTAAGCCAATTAATTCTGTAGGAACCAACAGAAAAGGCAGAAACATCCAGCAGGCAAGTCGAGAACCCTTGTGCTGAGCCATTTGTTTCGAAACATACACACGTCTCCACTGTCTCACTGTCACTTTGATCATCCCCACAATTCAAGAATTCTCTGGTCTGCTTCAAGATATCGCACTGCAATTTCTTATTCAGTTCTATCAAAGCACCTGTTTCCGATTCTTGATAGCTTGTCCACCCTTTTCCACTGGGCTGTCTATTACATCTTGTCCCCAAAGATGATGTTTTACATGAAAGGATGCAATGGACCTTGGAGAATCTTGAGCAGACATCTGATGTCACATTCTTAAGCTGAATACATAGATTGAGAGCTAGTTGGGATCCCCGAGAGACACAAATCTCATTTTCTTTTCTACTACCAGCACTTGTAGAAATAAGCAAAGAACCCACAGTAGGCCTGAAATATAAGTCAATTTAATTTTTGAAAAGATAGATTTGTCTAGGGATAAACTTTTTAAAAAAATGAAAAAAAAAAAAAATGATTTCACAGCAACAATTGGTATATAATGCATTAGTCCAGAACACGCATGTCAGCTAACAATGCGTTTGGAAGCGAAAATTGGAAAAAAAAAAAAAAAAGGGAATGTAAGGAATCGAGGGAGAGTGATGAAACTTTTTTCCTAAAATTTTAGTATGGGTTGAAAAAGCGAGGGAAATGGAGATTGCCAATTTGAGGTCAGATTTTAATAAACCAAATATTTAACCCATAAGCCCACTTTTCCCTCTCCTTCCTTGCCCTTCATTATCTTCCACCATTGCTATTGAAACACAATAAATCAATTATGCCTCTTTGTGAACAATTGAATAAATCAACAGTCCAACACAATCCTAATGCCCTATAAGTTCGAATATTACAGTAAATATAATGTGATGCTTCATAATCCTATCCCATAGGTCTAATCCTGCATTTCATGATAGTGTGAACCTAAGTAATGCTTCACAACAGCTCTAGTAATTCAATTCATCAGTGTCATTATAATTGGAAAAGGCATTTAAATACTCTTAAGTCTTAAGTGAAGGATCACAGTGAAAGAAACATTCAACAGGTCTAAAACAATAATCACAGATTACCATTATAACATCAATTATCAGCCATCAATCAATATAGATGTAACAAGATATAAATTATATATCAAATCAAAATGCAGCACCATCATACCTTAGTCTGAAAAAATACTTGGGAACCCGGAAAGGTATATGCATCCATGCTTCAACTATATTCAACAGGAGTTGCATACGATCCTTATAAGCTTGCCACATTGTATCCTCGTCTTCTGCACTCATGCACTCATTTTGCAATTTCATTAATCGCCTAACACTAGATCTGCACAATGTAAGAAGATCTTCTGAGACATGATTAACTTTTGGTATCCCATGTCCAGACAGAAAATGCAAAAATCTCTCAGGCATCTGACATTCTTTTAAGAGTGACATGAGATTTTTACACATCTCCAAGTCCGTATGCCACAATCGCACAGCTAAGTCTTTTATGATGACACTCTGGCAATAACCTGATTCTTTTGTCAGATCAACAAAATCAGGTGAATTAGGAATCAAATTGATGAACTCTGTGCAGAAGGCCAACGCTGAACAACCAAATGCAAGGGCTGAAATTTGTTTGAAGCTTCTGGAGTCTAAGTCAACAAAAGACGAGGAAATCATATCATATTCCTTTGCCATACTAGCTAGTTTTGCAGATACTCGAACCAAAGAAGACATCATGTCTTTCATCTTTTGAACAATAGGTTGGCCATCAGTAAAATCACTTTCCCCGTGCCTACTACTCTCGAGGCCTGCCTTGGGAAATAGATAATCATTTAAGAGTTTCATCATATCCACCATTACAAGTAGAACCTTCTGTCTCAATGCCATGAACCACCTTTGGAAACAAAGGGTTTGCGTTTGTAAAGAAATGGCTTCCAAAATCTTGACAGATGAACAAGTATCATCAAACGCATTTATAAGTTTTTCAATGTACCCATCCACAGTCAATGGCACCAAGACATGGTCCAGAGGCAAACAGCAAGATCCTTTCTGAAGCAGCACCTTGACATTCTTCTCAGAACGGGAAAACTTAACTAAGAATTTTAACCACTGGCTGCAAAGTTCAGACTGAACCTTTGCTTCCAGATGTTGAAATATAAAACTTGCCACATCCCATCCTCCCTTACAAGATGCATATCTTCCAGCTTTGTAAGCACACCAATTATATCCTCCTGTGAGCATGTTTGTTGCACATACATAGATAATTGCATCACTTTCAACCAATTTACTGGGAGACCCATTCAGTCTTTGAACAGAATTGCCTGACTTATCCTCAGGCATGAAATGGTTCCAGTTGACAAGGGCATGCAGAAGAAGGGCAAAGAATGTGTGGGTAGAACAATCAAATAAATTGTTGTCACAAATAAAGGACACCATTAGTTTCAATTTGCAAGATATTTCATTTGTCATAGCACACGAATCCTCCAGAGTTTCCAGGAAAGCCACCAAAAATCTGTAGACGTAAAACATCAACACATGCATAGAGCAACTTTGTTTTGCTCTTGTATTAACAACTTTGTGTACCTCAGGATTCTGTATTGCAGACAAAGGTATGTTTTGCAATTCTGCCATATTCTTGATAATAAAGTGTAGTTTATCCACTATGAAATCACCTAATTCTGAATGATTCTCAACCAATAAAAGTAGCAATTTGAGCATGCTTCCTAGTTCTTGCTCTACTTGACAGTTAGAGGTCCCATCTAACACCAGCCGCACCAATACAGTTATCTGATCACTGATAACTGAGACAACTCCAGAGGGATAAGTAATAGGATTAAACTCCAACATTAGCTCATCTCTTCCCTTCAGCTTATCAGATATACTTACTAAGATTTGAAAAGCTAAGAATCTTACAGAAGGTATTGGGGATCGAGTAGCATCCTCAACATACTTCAATAGCTTTTTGAACTCATCAACATCAATTAAAAGCATATCAAGCATCCCATATGAAAGCATCTGCAAGTAATGCAATAGAATCAAGATAATGAAGATATCTAAGCACGTACATAGATCACTCAATCAAATTGAGTCAACAAAATTACCTTGAGGAAAATATGCAACACTTCACAATGCAAAGCAGAAGGCAGATTTGGTTCATCAAGCATTCTGAACAAATTCTGAAATGGAAAAGCACTAACAGGTAGAAAGCATGCTGCTTGCTCTCCAATATAACGCATGCATCTAAGCACTATACCCTGCAAACGTAAACTTGTTTTCTGAACAAGAATTGAACTAAGCAAGCCTACCTGAACAGAAGCCAGGGGGGAGAGGGTCAAGAAAATGTGATTAAACCTCAATATAGCAGTTACATGTCACAAGCATATCAAAGGGGAGGACTGATAAGTTAGGCAATGGAGTAAAAACAAGCTTCAGGAACTAGTGATTACACAGCCAAGATAAAGCATGAACTGGTGCATTGCCCATGTTTAGTTACAACTATGACTACAAGAAAGAAGATTTTTTTTCTCATATAGCTTATAAAAGTAATAACAGAGATTATTCGGAAATGTGGTACAAAATGAAGCACAGATATACAGCTCTTTAATTCATGTAGCCAACCTAGCAGGCTCTTCACGACCACAAACAAGAGAAGGATCAATAATATGATATTGTAATCTTTACGATGGCATAAAACATCAATAGAAGGTCTACCAAACCTAAAGAAGTTAGCTGCCTTCATCAAGTGATGCCTATAACTCAAAAAATTCAAGGATCATAAGTTGTCAAGAATTCAATGACAAAGTAACTATAAGATGGTACATATAATAAGATTGCCATCAGAACGTTGACTGTTTACCTGATCAGTGATTAGAACGGATGTTTTCAAAGAAAGTTTCGTGAGAGAGATCAACATAGTGGCCAAAATATCCTCTTCTAAAGTTTTTCTTATAAGTTCAGCACCAGCCTGCATTAATCAACAGTAAACAGCTTGATCATACAGCCACATTGCTCTAGAATTTCTAGAGAATCAGAAGCCCCATCAATATGTAGCTGCAATAATGATACAAATAACTATATCAAATGTTTTGACAGACAAAACTGCAAGTTGCAAACTTATTAATAAAGCGTTGTCTGAGATTCTAAAAAGGAAACAATTAACAAAGTCATTGAAAAAACTACACTACTTTCAGTTGAAGTTGTGAGAAAATAAAAGTTAGGGCACATATAATGGTTGACCAATATCTACTAAAACAGTTTTGAATCCTTTTTAACTGAAAGACCCTACCAAAGGCATTGTATCAATGTTGTGATGTGGTACAGTACAATATGGCGAGTTACAGCACAGCTTATTATATACTCTGTACAATGTACTTAAGAGTCCATTTGTTGAGTTGGCCAAGCAGTTACAGTTTATGCATACATAGAGAATGCCTTCTTCACTTGTTCCCTCTTAAAGAGCAACTATTCCATGTGAGTTTGAGACATTATCAGCACATTTCAATGGTAACATTCTTTTCAACAAGGACAACAACCTAGCATAATTCTCATTGTAGGCATGGTCTGAAGAGGTCCCAATGTCACAACCTAATCGTCAACAAGTCTAGAGTCAAAACAGGGCAAGAATGCATAGCATCTTTCACTACAATTAGCATAAACTGTTTTCAGTATGTTGTCCAATAGCAGATCCTTTCACGTACGTGTATAAGAATATTTATGACAGCATGGAATGATTGGTGGGAAGCAAAAAAAAACATATAAATAAAAAGACCTTGTATATTGGGTAAATGTAGGCATTAAAGAGAGAAAAGGCACATTAATTAAAAAGCAATAAAAAAAAGTGAATATAAGTAAAAAGACCTTGTATGATTTCATCGCAAGTAAAACTGAGCATCCCATTTTACGAAAAGTTCGTGCTCCGGCAATTTTTAGAGCTGGCAAGGTTTTTGGTGAATTTATGAGTTTGAGCAGATTCTCCAAGAAAACAAATCCAAAGTCATCTGATATTTCTGACAAGTATTTAGCTGCAAACAGTGACGCCTTGACCTGTAAAGAAATAAGCACAATAATATATCAGCTGGGACTAATTGTCTACAATATTGAAAAGTACGTATTTTGGGCTATGAAAATTGCACAGTCGCCAACACATGGGCATTCTGCAAGAGAGAAGAGTATGGCGACAAGTTGGCCATGGAGGTGTCCTAAAATTGATCAGGGTATTTTATATTGGTTTCATCAGGCAAACAAAATATTTCTTCAATTATGTAAGCCGACCCCAAATCATTTTGGGTCTAAGGCTTTGTATTGTTGTATTTCTTCAATTATTTCAGACATTTCATTAACTCTTGCTTCTCAGCTTGCTTATCAAAATTAAGTGTCACCATAGACCCTCCAGTGGCAAGATCCTAAAGGGTGGTGGCGGAAATCTACCGAATTTGATGGCAAAAGTGCAATTACTAGAGGCAACAACAGTCAGAAGTTTCACCAAGAAATGCAACAAAACATGACTTTCACAATCCAGAAGTTTGTACAGTGCATCAAACTATTAATGTGCAGAGCAACACATGACAGGAGGAAAAAGGGGATGTGCAGAGCAACACATGATAGGGGGGGGGGGGGGGGGAAAGGGGGTTGATCCTGGCATTTAATAATGTTCTATTCTTAATAGCACAGGAGTGACAAGACTAGTACAAACATTAGCCCATATATAAAAGAGTACTCTCAAATGGTGAAAAATAGATGTTTGCCAAATTAATCTCACCAACCTGAAGGGGCCAGGTCAGGATTGAAAAGAAAAACTTAATAAAATTTGGGTTGTTATAGCAGGTTTCATATTGTCAATATATCAGATTACACAAGTTCTTACTTGCAAGTTAAATTATAACCAGATGCAAAGACAATAATATTAAGTAGTAACCAGAAAACAAGGTTAAATCCAAATAAACAACAGACAGCATAGAAGATGCTAAATTGCTAACCAGACCAGGTCCTCACCTCCAAAACATGACAAGAATACAAAGCAGATAGTATTGCATGTCGCATTTCAGCAACATCTTTAGCAAGCTCAGCACAACACCCAAGCAAAATTAAAGCTAATGCTCTGGACTCAACACTCTCATCAGTAAGAACCACTTTAACTCGTCTCAAATATTCCATTTTGTTATCCTCGTCCATGTTTGAAAAGAATCCAAGTGCTTGTCCATATTTCCTCTTGCAGTGCCTCAAAATTGACAAGAACACTCTAACGACAGAATTCTTCATGTCTCTGTCCCCGGATACAAACGTGTCTGCAAGCCTGAGGAGAATCGCATCTGCAAAAAGTCTATCTTCCCCAGGAACTAAGCTGAACAGGTTATACATAGCTAAAGTGGGTTGTGGCTCTGTACTCCACTGCTTTAGCCGAGGACCAATCAGGTTTATTGATTCAATAGGATTACCTGAAAAGATGAGTATAAGCCAACAGATGAATTTTCTCTACAACAAATCATACCCATTATGGCCTCTAAATGAGAAAATCAGAATTTACATTCAACCAACAATTTTCATTCTCAGAAGCTATTGTGATATTACTCGTTAGACATGCCAAGACTTCTGTCAGATCCACATACAAGGCTACAAGCATACAATGCGCCAGCCGCCAAGATACATTTTATCCACAAACAGGCATGCCTTTATATGCAATATCCACATAAATATCTAAACCTATATAATGATTATTTACCTGGTTTTCTGGACCGAAGGCCTTTTTCAAGTTCAATGCTCCAGCCCATAGCAAGTGTAGCAGAAATTTTCTCCATTCAATCCCTTAATGTTGACCGAAATTTTGAAGCTGCCTCTACCAAAGATTCAAAATTCTGCAAAAATACAAGATAAGCAAATAATTATAATCCTGTATGCTCTGAAATTCATTACAGGGACTGTCGGGTAGCAATTTGAGGCTGATTCTATTATTCAAAGTTCCCAGTTGTGGAGGTTGTCAAATTAACATAATCTGGAACTGGAAGAAAACAAAGAAACACTAAAGTTCTTAGGAAGGAGAAAAAATATATATATATATATATTTACAGCTGGCCCAGTCCCACTACATGTGAGTATACCAAGTAAAGCAATTTAATTAATCAAAGAAAGGGGCTCTCACAGGCTCTCAAACACAGTGACAAGAACAAAGATTTGAACAAGCATGCCCAAAAAAAAAATCTGCAGTAACACATAATAATAACAAACTTCATACTTGATACAGAAATTACATTAAGAATTGGCAGATATACCAGGCAAAGAACATCAGAGTTTACAGCAGAATTTTTGCCCAGGACAAGCCTAATAAAAAGCTCACTCAAATTTCATTACTCAATGAGGGATTCTAGAGTTTGCCTGCATTTATTTTTTATGTGTCCACCCACTAACATAACAAGCCAGGCTAGGACCTGCCATCAATTATTTATAAAAATGATTCTTGTAAAAAACAGATTCAATAGCGGGCCATCCCATATGTGGTGTGTTGATAGATATGGGGAGTTAAACAATTCGAGAGAGAATTAGGAGTAGGATTTGGGAATCAGATGGAATGTAGGAGAGAAAAAAAATTCACTTAAGAGAGTATACTGGAGAAAGGAGGGTTGGGAGCTGGAGAGAAAATCAAACAAAAGTTTTTAAAAAAATAAATAAAGAAAGAAAGAAAAAACTTAGTTACAATATTATAAGTTTATAAACCTTTGCAAGCATTATAGCTGCGTGCTTTTCACCTATGTTTTACTATACGACATATTAGAATTTATTCTAGTTTTAGGTTGAATTTGGGTAGCCGTTATTTTTTCTCAACTTACTCTTCCTGAAAATGAAAACACGGTGCGCAAAACAGGGCCTATACAAGACTTAGACAATCCATAGTGTTATGAAATTTTTCTGTCAGTTCTTGTGAACAAATCATCCAAAAGAGAAAAGAAAAGAAAAAAAAAAGGTGAGCCTCCATTTAGTTGATTTCTTCTACATTCAATACATAGTGGATACGAATAAAAGCTAATTGATGAATGAATCTATGAATCCTTGCTGCTATGAGACAGGCCAGACAGCAACATTATTGCAAGAGCGCTAACTAGTTAAGCTCATTTTACATTCATCTCTTTGTTAAAGCACTCACATCTGGTCAATCTAGGAGATGGTTTATCCATTTCTTAATGACTTCAGGCGAGCCATACCAGGGTCTTGAGATATCATCTGAACCAACAGGGGAGTGATATACTCCATCCAAGCTTATATTAAGAGCACCTTCTAAATGAGCAGATACCTCTGGAACAACTCCATCACCCCATACAACTGCCTGCCCACACACTTGCTTGTAACCCTGACCAACAAAGCGAGCTCGAAATGTCACAGTATCCGAAGCTGACTCAGATACATTCACGACTGCAGCTGCTTGGGATGCATCCTCGATTTCATAAGAATTTCCAAATACTGGAGCTCCTTGGATATACCTTCCAGCAATGCATACATACTTTAGTTCAGGAGTATACACAGCTTTAGCACAATGATCTTTAACATAATACAATAGCCCCCTCGTTTGATCAATAACACCAGACACTCCTTTTGGAGGCGGCAAATGTGGAGTTCCAAGTGTCAAAAGCAAGGAGATATCAGACTTCCCAAATTCCTCCATATAAACACGAGCAAGCCATCCTCCCGCCGAATGTCCAATCAAAGAGAGCGGCCTACCCTGAGCAATCTCCTTGGCTTCATTTACAGCCTCATCTACCCTATAAAGGTACCAGTCTAAAACAGGACGAGGACGAAGTGTACCCTTCCAGTAACTAGGGTCTGCTAAACCCGCCGCATTCCTAAACCAATCCAACCTCGAAACTCTAACAACCACACTTTTAACCCCATATTCCTCTAAGCTGACCTGCAGCCTCTGGTAATCCCCTGAATTATTCCCCAGACCAGGGAGTATTACAGCAGGGCGAGGCGCTTCCAAAGAAGTGACCGGAGTTACAACAGGGACACACCGAGGAACATTAGAAAGCAACCGGGGTTTCGAATACAATTGTGGATTCTGAGGTTTATGTGGCCAAGACCATTGCAAGGGTGAAGCTACTGCCATATATGCTTCACTTCACTAAGCAATTGTTCAATGATTGCCTTAGTGGTAAGACCCTTCACTGGTACTATGAATTCAATTCCAAAAATCCTAATTCCTCCTAAAAATTTTCAAAGCCCACAATTGTACACGTAGAATTCCTAGCTTTGCAATTTTGGGTTTTTTTGCCCCACAAATTAATATTATAGTTTACAAATTAAGACAACAATACCCATAATTCCCTGATCTATTTCCCACTATTGCCACTCCCCCAAAAAGGCAAAAACCCTTTGTAAATCATCAATCACTCCAATTCAGAACTAGGGTTCAAGCTTAATGTTTTCACAAAATTAATCATAATTCAATAATTAGAATAAGCATGTGGGTAAAATTAACAACAGAAATCACAAAAACAAAAAAATAAACCAAAAATAATTAACGAAATAAATAAACTTGATTTAGTTGCTAACCTCTAAGCAGAAAAGCTGTAGAATGAAGTTTTAGGGTTTCACCAAACATGAATTTGTGAGAGAGAAAATGAAAATTGGGAGTAAAAATGGTGGTTGAGCTAATGAAGAGAATAGATTAAAGAAGAATCAATGTGTTGTTCGATGCGAACGTCAAGTATGTTAGATACTGTTAAGTTACATGCCCTCGCCATGGCCGGCGATTTTTTCCGGGAGCTTCTTCGCTTCTCCGCCGAGTAGCGTTTTCCGCCGTCGTCGTAGTGCTTCTCTTTCGTCGTGATGCGAGTTTTCTCCCTCTTAAAATGTTAGGAAAAATAGGAGAAGCAGTAAATAATAAGGGAAAAATTACCCGGAATAATCCCACTTTGGCCCGTCCGTCCAAAATAATCCCAGATTATTTTTAAATAATCCGACTTTTATATCCACTTCGCTCCTAATGGTCCTAGAGACTTTTTAATTAAGTTTAATTTACACGTGTCATCACGTGATTGATCAAAAAAATAATTTTCTATTTAATTTTGTTTTAAGAATGGATTATTAATAATTAACATTAATTATTTATTTTAATAATTTTACAAAAAAAAAAAAAAAAAACCTACAATTAACCCTAGCCCCACCGCAACCTCAGCCAACTCGCCGCCCTGCCACCAGCCAGACGAGGCCCAGAGCAGCCAGACTCGCCGCGCCGCGCCATTCCCCTACTCGGAGCTGCTCTCCAACCCTCCCCTACCCTTTTACCCACCACAACCACTAACGAAATCAAGATGTGCGAAGAGGAGAAGGGCCAAAATCGAGAAGTTGGAAGGGGATAAGGGTCGAATTCAGAGCGTGGGGAAGGGGAGGTAGCCGGAAAAGGGATTGGGGAAGGGGAAGGGGGCTGGGATCGGGACAGAGAAAGGATTTTAAAGGTTGGGGGATAGTTTTTACTGGGTTTCGTGGCGGTGGGGAGGGAGGTTCGTGGGAGGGGGAAGGGAAGGAGGGCGTCGGCGAGAGAGCTTCTGGGTGGTCGGCGGCTCGGCGCTGCAGGAGAGCTTGTTGGCGGTCGTCGATGCTGTGGAACAATGGAATCCTGCAGCTCGTCGGCAGGAACAGCGACGGGGAGGGTAGGTTTTGCTGGTGAGGATTTTTTTTTTTGAGAGAAGCTGGTGGGGATTTTTGAAATAATTAATTAATTTTTTCTAACTTTTTTTAAAAAAAAAACTTTTGTTAATTTTTAGACCAATTGTCGCCAACACGTGTCAGTGCAACTTGTTATAACAGGTTAGTTGACCGGTTGGGACCATTGGGAGCGAAGAGAATATAAAGGTCGGATTATTTAAAAATAATGCAAAGGTGGGATTATTTTTGGCGGACGGACCAAAGATGGGATTATTCCGGGCAATTTTTCCAATAATAAGGGTCTGTTCTCGTACTTTTATTTTCAGTTCAGTTCAGCTTCTAATATCCTTCTCTTATAAAATACTCCGTATTTATTTCATTTTATTTCAATTCACTTCAGCTCAGTTCAGTCTATGAAAAAAGGCCCTAAATACTCCCCTTTTAAGCAAAAACAAACTCTTTCATTCAAATTGCGAGGGAAATTGAATTTCACTACAAAATTTTAGGTGTAGTGAAGTCAATTACTAGCAGTTTTGTTATAAAATGACAATCGAACACAATTTAGTATGGAGTAGTTAGTGGTCTTTGTACCAACAACGTTTTACTAGAATGCTAAAAAATTGAACTACTAGAGACTAGGAGGGTGTGTCATGTGCGAAATATAAATTATACTCGTAATTGAACTAATGTTATGTTTCATTCAGAAATATTTCCATTTATTAGCATAAACATAAACATAATGTGAAGCCAAGGCTGCCAAGCTGAGCCGCTGAAGGCATGATGAGATTGGTTACTAAAGTCATTTCAGCAATAAATTGCCTCGGGCAAAACTTGGATTCGTAAGTACTTCTTCCATCCCATATTAGATGTCAAATTTTATCAATGAAAATTGGAATCATTAATTGTGATGCTTCTCACCATTTAGATTACCTGAAAATGTTAAAAATTGGCTTTAATGGAACATGAAATGATTTTGTTGTTTGCTATTGAAAACTTGACAAATATTGTGTGACATCCTAAACAGGAAATTTAAAGAACTACCATAACGGAGAAAGAACTACAGATCATCTAAGACAATCATAAAAAGCCTGCAACCAAGGACCATTCATCTAGTGAACCTCCTAGCGTAATAAAATCCGATGGCGGTACACAGCCAGGCCCAACACCCGTGAATTAGCACATCTGATACTTTGTTTGTGACACGATTCTGGTTCCACACACGATGATCTTGGTATAACAACTCCCACACTACTATTCATATTTCATCAGCCAAATGTTTAGAATTGACAACAGCAAAACCATTATGCCATTGATATTGGACATCTTATAAAAAATCACCTTCACATTAATAACCAATAATGAGAAGCAAAACATCACAGGAAAACGAGGATAACCTGCTTCTATCTCTCAGACTAAAAATACAATCAGAAATACAAAATCAACACATCTCCAACATGAAAACATCCTCATAAGCCATAGTCCATGCTTAAACTGTCACTGAAGAACATTTGTACATCAAGGCAGCACTTTTATCCAAATGGAACAAATCGAAAGTTGACAGCATATCAAATTTCTTATGTAAGATCATCGTCATCATTATCTTGGGCCTTCAGTTTTTCCTTTACTCTTAGAAGAAGGGTAGTCTTCCATGCGTCCTATGCATCAAAGTTCAAAAAAACAATCTTAACAATGCACATGGTAAAAATTGCCCCAAATACATTACAGAAATCTAACTCACAGCTTGAGAACGGACACTAGACTAATAAACTATATGCTGACATCAGACTAATGTGCCTTATCCAGCAACAGATTGACTACAACAAAGGGAGCAGCAATCTCACCAAAGAAAAACAAGGGGGTAGGGGGGAGGGGGGGGTGGAGTAAAGCAGTTACAATCTTCACGAATTGCTGGCACAGCAGTATACACTTTTTGAGGGGCATAGATTGTCCCCAAACTGCTATTACACTATAAACTAATTAGCCTATTAAGCAAAATTTTCAATATCTGCAATTGCAGCAGTACATCCTTCTAAATCTAATGAATGACTAGTATAATGGATTTTGGATTTTAGGTAGGAAACTAAAAACAATGTTGCACGTACAAAATAGAACTAGTAGCGGATGACAATAAACCCAAGAGGCCAAGAGTCATTTAAATATTCTGTCAAAGACAAAGGTATACTAGCTCTAGGTACATCCAAGGCTATTTGTTTTGCTTATTTGGAGAGAGAACTCCAATGAAGCAATGAGGAAAAGTGTAGAAACTAGCCTACACTCTATTGTATAACAGACTCTCCCCAAGTCATTATATCCACCCAGTAGAACATAAACTCTGAGGTCTCTGACTTGAGTTTACTTGCCCTAAAGCTGGACACAAATGCATGTATGTGAAAAATCGTAGGATGACATTTGCATGGCAATATATAAACAGACAGTTTAAATTTCAGGAAAAGATCCATGCATATCTTCATTTCATTCAAAAGAACATTAACAGTAAGTGAACTGATCTATTTAACAAAACTTATACCAGTGGGGTCATGCTATCGAACTCTTTAACAAGATCCGTAAATTTTGCAACATCTTGCTCATCGATTGCAGAAGCCAAACCCTGCAAACACAAAACAAACCAGAAACCTCTTTCAGAGTCCAAAAGCATAGATAACAATGTAATCTAGTCAGTCTGCTCATGCAATCCAGAACTTTTTTCATATTATACTAATGCTCCTTGTTATTCAAACTAGTAAACTAATCTGATGTGGAAATCATTTTGTCTGAAACCTGTATATGAATTTGAAAATCTTGTTTGGTCTGAAATTATCTCTTCTTCTGAATTTATATGTTCTTTAAAAATCTTAACTTGTGTCAACGTATCTTGTCTGGAATAAATCAAAATAAGTTCAATAATTTGAAGAAGACAGGGCCTTCCAGCCCAACATACATAGGAGTATTGGACACGACACAATTTTAAATAAACACCCAATATAGCAGTTATTCAATGCCCACTATTCCCATTACTCATCTTAGTAAGATATTTATGGAAAGACAATCATAGACCATTACTACTATGAAAACTTTTCAGGTAAATTTTGAAATAGTACAAGTGACAAAAAATAATCCTAATAAAGAGAGTATAAGTATCTTCAAATTGCAAAAGAATCTAGAAGACGTCCTACATATAAATCATTTGGCCAACAATTGAAGATGCATTAAGAGATGGAAATGAGAAAACTAAAGAGGAGGCAGTTATTTGGTTTAGCAATTTAATCGTTTATGGCAATTTATTCAAGTTTAGGTCGATACTGCGCCAATTTAAAAATCTCCCTGAATGGTATTACATTATGTAGTAGACACTTAAAAGCAATAATTATTCCCTTAAATACATTCTTTTGGGTCAATAAAAAATTTAACGGAAAAACATTAGATAACAGAGCATAGAAAACAAGAGACATACCGAAAGCAATTTGTATTCACGAGTACCAGAAAAGGTAGGATCCAGATCCTGAAAATTCAAGAACGATGTTATGAGAATTTTGTAATACGAAATCAGAACTTCAAAGTTTCTAATAAAATAGGGAAGGAAAAAAAAACCTGATATTTTTCCAATGCATTGGTTATTGAAACAACATCGCCCTTACAAAGGTGGCAAAGCCCAGCATTGAGAAGGTGGCCTTTGACTCCATATTTTAGCAATGAATTATTCAGAGATTGGCGTCCTATGTCTTCATAGATCTCAATCGCCTTCGGATACCTAAATGAACCATTTAGTTCATGAATACACTAAGTCACTAATTAATCTGTACCTACTTTCACACTAAAGGAAAGCAAACAGTGCATGAAAATGGTAATGGACGCTCAGAAGTCCATCTGACAGGCAAAAAAAACAATGCAGAGAAACTTCTGTGGTAGGGATAGGGTGGACAGCGCAGAAAATACATATCAAATACTGTCAAACAAACTATGTTAAAACCCCAGAGCATATTTAAGTTCCAAAGTCCAAATTGCCAGTAGTTTTTTTTATTAAGGAGCTTTCCTAAATGTAGAAACCACATGCAGAGCCACTAGTTCGTGATCCAGGAAGAATGGCAGAGGCATCAAAAAAGGAAAAAGAAAAAGGATTGTGCAGCCAGTAAATACACCAATAGTTCCACATGTCTTTTGATATTTGCCAAATAGAATTTTGTTTACCCAAGGCTCCCAGCATGTCTTCTGGTTTTTGGCAATCAAATGATTTATGCAGCTTAGAGAGGTAAGAAAAAGGATTGTGCTCCAGTAAATACACCAATAGTCTCCAAGAAATCCTCCCATGACCAGCAGAAACTCACAGCAAAGGAAATTAAAAATAAAATAAAATATTCTGCAATTCCATTCAACCATAATTTCAAGAACCCTAATAATATGATATTGCATCACCACAAAATTACATACTCCCATTAGATAAAATTTAAAAGTTAAAATTACTCCAATTAAGCCAAAATGTACAAGACACAAGAACCAGTTTGCATCACAACTCAGCAAAATAAGAAGCTAAATTGCAGCGGGAATAGCCCACAAACAATTTTCCAGATTTAACCATTAAATTTAAATCTCACGGGACATCACTGTAGTAAGTTTCTGATTCATTTCTATGCAGACAAACATATAAGAATTATCGCACAAAAAATCACACTTAAGTACCTATTGTCCAATGCTCTAAAGTTCCACAAACAGACCAAATTATATTTTTCCATGGTTCGAGTTGGATAAACAATCAAGTTGTAATATCACTACTTAGTAACTTCAAGCATGAATATACAAGGTGGATCAGACAGAAGAGCCAGCAATTAATGCTTTGACACAACATTTTTAGTAAAGCATATGTATGTTCCTACCGATAAATAAATAAAAAGGATCCACCATCAGAAATAACTAATGTCATGTGTCATGACAATCCCTCGGTTATTGGACAATGCATACAGCATCATATATAGTGAAAAGTTAGACCAGATGGCGAGCAGAACAGGAAATGCTTGATTGTTAAAAATGCAAGATGGAAGGGGAAGAAGCATACTGTTCCAACTGTGCAGAATATTGTGCAACTTTTTGTCTGCACTGGTTTGCAGAGGTCGTCACCTCTTCACTTTGAAAAAGATCAGCAGCTTTTTCATGCCAAGCTATAGCCTGCTCCAAATTCTCATCAGTCTCATGTATTTCTGCGATTTCCTGTGCACAAGAGATAAATCCTGAGTGACAATGGTGTTATTGTAACTGTCAATAATCATTTTTATTTTTTTTAAAAAAAACACTAAAACCTATGCTATTTGTCACTCATACTGTACAGATTCAAAATTCAGTAAATAACAAGCGGAATAGTTTCTGGCTGTCATCTAAACTTCAAAAGTGACCCGATTAATGATAACGTAGATACTTGCTAAAGAGAATATTGAAAGGAAGCACCACCAAGGTATCAGAAAGAGATTAACTCACATACAAGTATAAACCACATAGAGAAAAAACTGACTTACAACCATATAGTTTACAGACATGAATCGTACCTTACAGTATCTTGCAGCCATGCTGAGTCTTCCCATTTCAAGAAAGCTATTCACAGCCTGCTCCAAGCAAGATACAGCCTCTGCAAGGAATAAAATTCAAAACACAACACTCGTCTCAGCCAAAAAGTAGGTACTTAACGCAAAAGGCCCACATATCAAAAACTAGTGGAAAATTAGCAATTCTACCAGAAACATAATTTGCTATATGCATCATTTTGACAATAAGAAAAATTAAAAAATACACAACAATGTGGAATTCAGCTGGATGTGTTTTGGCAAAATGTAGACCTCAGATAATCAGTCCCACGTTTCCCAGCACATATGACCAAATACTGCAAATGCCATTCCTTCCAGACAATTCAAGGCAGTTTTAATTTACAGAAACAATTACAGCTATTAACCTAAAACATTTTACCAATTTTTGCCAGTGCCTTGGGTCAAATAGGATATTTCCTAACATCACCAGAGCTTATCCTACAACAAAGATAAGGCCTTTGAAGAAATACAACTTTTTCTACTACCTCCGTTTCATATTATTTGCAACGATTAGACATTTTTCCTCTCTACTTGAGGTCAAATCGTTGCAAATAATATGAAACGGAGGTAGTATAAAAAACCCTTTAAAGAAAAGGTATGCAGACAACCACAAGTGATTTCGACAACATTGAGCATAGTATTCGACCAAGTTTCTCTTCCAATCATTATTTTATTAGCTATCAGATATAATTCCAATACATCAAAATATTATACTAAATGGTTAGCTAAAATTTCCACCCGTGCGTCTATATACCTCTCCATACTCATCTTCGATGATAAAAATGACAACAAAGAAACCTATAGCTTGACAATAGAAGACAAATGTAACTCCAAAAGGAAAAAGTTTCCTAAAAGTTGATGAAATAGTACCAAACTACCAATTACATAAACTAGCAAGATGAGCAAAGACGAAAATATTTTCCAGAGATCAATTATGATACATCTTGAAGCTTAATTAAAGTGCTCAAATGTGTATACAATTACTAAACCTGATATTGAGGTCGGTATTTTCTAGCTAAAACCAATGGCACTTTAATGATAATTGTTAGTGTGAGTGAGTGAGTGAGTGTATGATTCTATATGTTGATAACGTAGTTGGAAACGTAACTGAAAAAAGAAGTAATTATTTCACTAAGGAGATATGAAAATGGAAAAACAATAAACATGCACTGTTCGACAACCATCACAAATTCACAATTCATTATTACCCTTGGATGAAGTCTTCTTATAAGCATGACCTGCCTCAGCATAAGCATTGGCAGCTTCATGTTTGCTATCCACCTGCATACACGAAATTAAAACAATTATCACAACCACATACATGTAAATTTAAATTAAAAATTTCCTCTTATGCAACAATATTCACCTTCAAATAACAGTTTGCCAACTTAAGATAAGCAGCACCAGCCTTATCCCCTGAAAATCATAAATAACGTCATCGAGAACACGTTATTAAGCACGCTATACAATCATCAATCACATCTTTCCTATTTCAGATATTGATAATTAGTGCACTCTACCAAAAACACAAATGATCAAAAACAACAATTCTGAAGATCAGTCTCAATCAACCACATCAAAAATTCAAAATGTACTTAGTCTCAACCTCAATCAATTGGAAACTTATCGATCCTTATCACAAATCAGATCTATTTCCCTACGAATACCAGAAAACAAGAATTCAATGCCGAACAACAAAAATGCGCATATTCATCTGATTTAAACAAACGAACATCAATTTTTCCAAATTAATTTTATTGTTCAATCAATGCTAATACTAAAACAACACCGATAACAACAATCAATCACAAAAAATCAGATTCAACACACTCAAACAAACCATAAACCCTAACTATCCAACAATCGAACAAAACAAATCAAAATTCGATAGATTAATCATCGATCGATCAATCGAAATCAAATGATTGTATAATAAACTAAAATGATTGATAAAACAACAGAAAAAGAAGGAAATCATACATGCTTTGGCAAGTTTGTAAGAATTGGCGGCTTTTTCGAACAATTCAGCAGCATCTTCGTGTTTGTTGCTGAATAATCCCCAACTAGTAAGCTTTTTCTCGGCTTTCTTCTCGAAATCATCTCCTCGTGCTATGTGATCACCCATTTTCGCTTTCTCTGCAAGTTTTTCTCTCTCCTGGTTTTTGTGTTTCTCTCTCTTCGGTGGGTGATTTTCTGTTTTTCAGGCAGCGCGTGGGATGAGGATGTGTTCAATACTTCAAATGTGAAATGTCTGATTTTTTTTTTGTGAAATGCCGAAAGCCCGAAAGGTATGGTGCAATTATGGGCATGGAATTTTATTTTTGTTAAAAAGTATAATCAACAAGAATATTTTTGTTGTGCTTATAATGATGTGGCATTGAAGAGTAGATGATGATATGTTGAAATGGTCGCTTTGATTGGGAATTCTTGTTGCATCTGATCTAATTTTTATTACGGCACTTAAAATGGTAAATGTCATGTAGAAAGATTGAGTTTTTTTTTAGTTGATTCGTATAATTTAATCTTGTACTAACGACTTGGATGGGATGAAACTGAAGATAGTTGGACTTGATTCATTTGATTGTTGAAGTATTTCGTGATTATTGTAAAACAAGTGATTGTGTAAGTATTAAATACAATATAGTGAGAACAAGAAGAAAATTATTTAAGATTTCAAGCGTTATTGTCCTTATAAGTTAAGTTTTAAATCAAAATGTTGCACAATTCTGTTTATTCCATTATTGTTCATCATTTAGACATATATTGATTGCCAAAAGTACTCCATTATAGCAAACAAGATAAATTCACACATCCATATGGTGAGATGAGATCAAGAGGACATTTTTAAACACTCATACTCACGTGACAAATACTTCCTCTGTTCTATTAATATTGCAACAAGGAGGAAATTACGCATTCCAATGCATATTTTATATGCTAGATATCTATAATTGTGTAAGAGTAAAAATTATAAAAATTTGATATTGTGAAATTATTTTATAAGACGAATCCAATAAAATCTCACATGACTATATTTTGCATAACGTATAAATCATATTGTATGGTCAATCAAGAGTGGTGAATAGTGCATAAAGCTCATTGTTGCAATATTAACAGAACGGAGGAAGTATTACTTTCTCAATTCTCCATTTTGCCATTTGTCAAAAAAAAAAAAAAAAAAATCTCCATTTTGCCAATATGCCGTCAATGATTCAATCTATGGTATCTAGAGAGAGGGAAAAAAATAAAAAAGAAGAGAAAACTAGCGAAAAGTTTAGTCATAAAAAATACTTGAATAAAACTAGTCATTTAGCTTCTCACTCTTGCTCAAATCGGCAATTTTCAATTTTTTTTTTTCTTCTTAATCCAATAAACTAGAGTAAAGGTTTTTTTTTTTTTTAATAACGAAATTCACGATTTCCAATAGACCCACCTACTTCATTCCAATATTTTCTTGCAAGAATATAATCCCTAAATATGTGTACATTACAATTCTCATGTTAATGTACAAGCTAATGCAATTTCCATATTTTCTGAACACATTTTATTAATCACCTATTTATTTCTAGCGATAAGAGAAGTTAATGAATTTTATTGAGCAAAAAGAGGTAATTATAATTGTGGATTCTTCCTACAAAAGTATGTTATAGGTAAAAGATTAGTTGTAACCTTAACTCCTTTAAGACCCTGTTGTTTTGTGAATTTCAGCAGAGCAGAGGAGAACAACTTTAAAAAATGAGATCTAAGTCGTTTATTTTACCCTCTTTAGTCTTTAATGAGTACTCCCTCCGTTTTTTTTATATGCATTACTTTTCTTTTATGGGTGTTTTTTTTATATGCATCACTTCTATATTTGATAAAGTTATATTTTATTATTTTTCTCTCTTACTTTAAACCCCACTCAAATTATTTTATCATTTTTCTCTCTTATAAAAAAAAAAAAAAAAAAAAAAAAAACACGGAGGGAGTACTACTTGTAAGTACTTCGAAGTGGACAGGACTTAGTGTAGGTAGGAGGAAATGGCGCTGAGTTAAGTTGGGCCCAATAATACGATACAGAATTAAGTTACCCAATCCAAACGATACGTTGTTTGTTTGGGGCCTTGGGTCATGTGGTGTTCGAGCAGAGACAGCAAATGACAAGTTATTGGCTCCAATGTCAAGCAATAACAATTGGATTTGACCGGTTCTTTTGAACTAAACTGAATTAAATTAAACTATAAAGTAATACGTTCAAATAATATGCTCCGTATGTTATAATAACAAATCTAATACCTATTCAACCTCACATAGTCACATCTCAATATTATCATAGTACTTTGTACTCGATGATTATAATTACTCGTATTAATTAGCATTCGGCTCTTGTAGTGATCATCCTTTATACGAAGTATTTTAAATAAATAAGTTTTAATTTGCACAATACTAGCACGTATCTTTTTTATTTCAATGGATTTTTCTGATTTAGTTAATAAAAATTTAATGTCATGTTAAACAATACTCCATACTCCGTACCAATGATATGATTTTTTTTATTTTATTAAATAAACATATTCTCTTCAATTAAATAATGTATATGTGTCCTGCAAAGATGTATACCGGTTTTATTAAAAAAAAAAAAATTATACGTATGTATATCTTATTTATTAATTATTTTTTTAATGTAAGAAGAAGAACCATGACCAGACCCTCAAGACACACTGTTGTTTTGGTCCAATATTTGCGAGTCAAATACTTTAAATGTGAGGGGAAAAGATAAAGGATCCTCACTTTCAATAAGTTGGAAAGTACAATATTTCCCACTAAATCAATCTTAGCTTATTAAAATCACATTTATACACCGACGATCAAGCTGACATGTCTGATAAGGCATAATAATTAATAAGAGGACAAGTGGAAGTAGAAGAGGTCTAAATCAAGCATGGAATAAAACAAAAACAAGAGGAAATAAGTGACCCAAATCATGCCCATCAAGAGCCAGTTCATTTGATTAGGTTTACCCTCTATTGATCCACAATTGCCCCAAAATGGGGCCGAAACACAGATGAGAATTAAGTCAAACAATAATGTCAATTCTCTATATTTATGTTTCCTTCCAATAATAACACACTTTGCCTAAGTTTTTGCATTATATATTATGTTAATTACATGTCGTGTTACGTTTCTTAACCACACGAAAGTTCATTGCTATTATCATTAATCATTGTCGTCATCTAGGCGCAAAACTCTTACTTTTATCAGGTATCTTCTCATGTTTCAAGTAATTGTATTTATGGTTTAGCAAGAAGGTTCAATACGCTATTTGTCATTTTCATTACTAGTACTTTCGATTTTATTGTCATTTTTAACTGTTAATTTATATTTAAAGTTGTATTTATTGCACAAAGAAAATAAGGAAAGTGAAAAATCACGAGAATTTGAAGATTAAGATTAGAAGAGGTGATAACCCCATATAGAGTGTAGTTTTGAATACTCGAAAAGAATCACAAACCATAGAATGGGTTACATTTGTATTTACAATCAAGTTCCCGAGGAGTATATATATTTAACTATTTAAATACAATGAAAATAAACTATTTACAAAGTAATAGTAGTATTTAAAGTTCAATGAACTTTCGTTTAATTTGACATTATCCCAAACAAAATAGGGTCATAGTCAATACTCACCAAATATCTTGTCTTTTAAAACCTTAATCTATCACATTATTCCACTTATTTTATACGGAGTACTAGAATTGAGTTGGTCAATAAGTTAAAATAAATTTAGTTCAGATACACCAATAAATAATATAAAAGTCAAATTATTACGTACATAAATTGTGTACTCCGCATGTAAAGTCATATAACAAATCCACAACTCCTATAACGAATCCACAACTATACAGATAATATAAGATTGAATCACATTGTAATATTGTATACAATACACTCATTAGGACCTATAGTACCACTGCACATACCGCTTTCAATGACCAAAAATATCAAATTCTATAAGGATAGCCGTGTGCTAGACTGGGTTTTATCCATTTTTACAAGATCTAAAAAGAAAGCCAACTTTCTCAAGCCAACTCTCTCTATTTATATTCTTATTTTTCTCACTCTTTCTCAATCATATACGCAGGCACAAAATCTAGCTTGAAAAAGGGCAACATCACAAAACTTAGCTTCAAATCTTCAAACCCCACCAAAAAAAAACCCAGAAAATGAAGGGAAAAGAAGAAAGAGAAACAGAATCAAGAATTGAAATCCCTTTACTGGAGAAATTGGATGATGAAGAAGATTCAGGAGGAAAAGGGGCAAGTTTAACAAGTGCAGTATTCAATATATCAACTACTATGATTGGGGCTGGAATTATGTCAATTCCTGCAACTTTTAAGGTTCTGGGTGTTTTTCCAGCTTTGATTGTTCTTGTAATTGTTGCAATTATGGGAGATATTACTGGAGAATATATGTTAAGGTATACTCATTCTGGAAAGTCAACTACTTATGCTGGATTGATGGGGGAGTCTTTTGGTAGAGTTGGTTCACTTGCTTTGCAAATTTGTGTTATGATTACTAGTTTTGGGTGTCTTATCATCTATCTCATTATTATTGGTAAGTTGGTTTTTGTTCTTAATCTCTATTTTATTTTTTTAATATAAAATGGATATTTAATTTTCATATTATTTGTGTATTTGGTGATTGTTTGAAACTTTGAATATGTGGATTCATATTGATGAGCTTTTGGATAACTATTAAGAATTTAAGATGGCTATTGGGAAATCAGACCAAGTATTTGAGGGTCTCCTATAGTCCTATACGTTATAAGCTTATAACCCTGACCTCGTGTTACCGGGTTCTTTATTTTACCTCATATACTTGAATGGGACCATAACTGGAAGAATCTAAGGGTGTTGGGTGGCCTATATGTTACGACCCCATGTTACCGGACTCTTTATTTTACCCCGAGTGTGACCATAGATGTAAGAATTTGAGGGTATCTTCTGAGAGTATGTTGTATGCGCTCGTATTGGTAACCATCAACTTTTGCTTCATAAATTAGCAATGTTTGACACTTGAAACGCGTACAATATGATATTGATATACTGCTAATATGGACTCGTTGTGGACCAATAAAATGATACAATGTAATTTGTTGATTGGCTGTCTTGTTTGTATATATATATGGAGTATAATTCTTGTAATAATGCTTCAATATTAGCCCTGCATGTATGTGTGGTCATGTAGTGCCTGTCTGAAAAATAAATTGGCATAATAACAGCTTCATAATCTGATCTAAACTTTGAGGGTGAAAGTATAATTTGTAGTTGGTTTCCTGCAACTGGTCTAATTATTGATGGTTAATGGGCACTAAACTGCAATTTGTCCACTAATTATTCTAAGAAAGGTACATGCCTGTCTCTGTATGATTGTTACTTAACATTGGTGGTCTTAGAGTCCTAAACTCCTAATCTATTTATTGTCATGGACCTTAGAAACATGTGGCAAGGAGACACCTCAAACTAGTCTTTAAGAGTTTTCAACTTCTGAAACACTTAATAGAGTTGAAAATGAAAGTTATAATTATTCATGCGAAATTGCTAATGATATGTTTTTGTAAATTTTCATGCAACTGTATAACAAAAATCTGCTCTAGCCTCTAGGTCTTTAACCAATGATATTTTTGTGCTTAGCCTCATTAGCTATCATAACCTGAAACGGTAGAATCTATCCGATTGATCAGAATCCTGTAACTTTACGGTTTTACATGGGACTAACTACCTTTTATTTCCTTTCAGGGGACGTGCTTTCTGGAACCCATTCCGGGAGCACCATCCACACTGGACTACTACAGGAATGGTTTGGGTTTTATTGGTGGACTTCGCGTGCCTTTGCAATTCTCTTTGTGGTGCTTCTTGTTATCCTTCCTCTGGTGTTGTTTCGTCGTGTAGGTCAGTACTTCAGACAGTCCTGTAAAATTAATATTCCCTGTGGCTAATGGATATTGCTTGTGTCATTATTGTTTGGAATTCTGCTGTTTTATTTCAACTTCTTACCTTGTCCTTATTTTTCTGTTCAGATTCACTTAGGTACACTTCATTATTGGCAATTCTCCTTGCCTTAGTGTTTGTTGTCATATCCTCAATATTGGCAATAGAAGCAATGTTGGAAGGAAAAACACAAAACCTGAAACTAGTGCCTGATTTTTCCCGTCAAGGCTCAATCCTCAGTCTTTTTACCACCATCCCAGTTTTTATGACTGCTTTTGGATATCAACTCAATGGTAAGGGTGCTGAACACTATGCTATCAGCTGTTAGTTTCTTATTGCTTCTCGGGTTGCTAATATTGTACCTATTGGGTTTTCCTCCTTTTCTTTCTTTCCTTTTCTAGTTTTGAATTCTTGATATCTTATTGTTCGATATGGTACTGGAATAAGTTAGGCAGAATAGAGTTGTATGCTGCTGGTTAAATTGTAGGTGTACATTGAAATTTGGAGTAATTTAAAGAAACTGATAGACATGTGAAATGATAATAATCAACTTGAGGCCGTGTCCATGTTTTCTTCACACAACAATTTACTATTTTTGATTTTTATTTTTAAAAAAGCATAAATCTGTACCAGTGCATCTGTGCATGTAGCTGTTCTCAGCAAGTCAGCATTGATATTCATTTGAATTTACTATATTTTGCAGTTCATCCTATAAGGGCAGAGCTTGGAGAACCTTCAGACATGAGATTGGCTATCAGGATATCACTTGTCATATGCGCTCTCTTTTATTTCTGTATCGGGTTCTTCGGCTATCTATTATTTGGGGATTCTATTGATGCAGACATGCTGGTGAACTTCGATCAGATTGGTCATGGTACTATGATCGGTTTATTAATCAATGCCATTGTTCGATTAAGCTATGCAGTTCATCTCATGCTGGTGTTTCCTTTGATAAATTTCTGTCTGAGAGCCAATTTAGACGAGCTCTTCTTTCCGGACAAGCCTGACTTAGCCAAAGACACACCAAGATTCATATGCCTCACGTCTATAACACTTGTCCTTGCTTATCTAGTTGCAATCGCCATACCAAGCATATGGTACTGCTTCCAGATACTGGGTTCAACAACTGTTGTTTTCCTCATACTCATATTTCCATCCTCTATCATTCTAAGGTACTTTTTAGCAAATTTTAATTTGGTGCTGTTCAGATGCTTGTTAATATGTTAGTTGGCAAAGGATTTGACGGTAATTATTGGCAGGGATATTCATGGGATCTCTACATCATGGGACAAGGTGGTCGCAGTCTTGCTTGTACTTGCTGCGCTATTTACCAGCACAATTGCTATGTGGACCAATTTGTCCACTCCTTCGGGGAGTACAGCCTAACTGTTTTCTCGCAGTCACCCACATTTTAGCAGGTTTTATAGTTGATCGTGATTTGTGCACTTCAGTTCTAGCTGAAGTTTGCTGATCTGGTGATCACACTGGTCAGTTTATCCGTCTCTCTTATTCGTCAGGCTTCATTAATCTTCCGCGCCTGGATTTTCCTGAATTGACACATTTTCTTGTGGTGGTTGATTTAACCAATGTATATTCTTCCTGTAAAATGTAAATATTCTTTTCTGAACCACATTTATCTGTACCAAGTACCAACAAGAGAGAGCTGGTCTGAGTCTCTTTGGTTGAAGCTTCTTAGCATACTGAATTGATTGTTGGAGTTCTCATACTTGTCAGTGAAACTTTAAGGTGAAGGGAAGGCGCTTGTTTTTTTATATTGTGGCTGAATGGAATTTGTCAAACCTGTGAATGAACATGTCAAAGTGGTAGCGATTGCAGCATCGGATCCTCGGTCCAAAGTGCAAGGGATCCTTTAGACCTGTAGTTTGTAAGATCTATGTTGTTACTTTCTTTACAAAATGCTCAATTGTAAATTGTATTGTATCAGTAGCTCAATCTCTTTGGCTCCTGAACCAGTGATTTTAGTTTATGCAGTCATTCTGTTTGTTACTGATCTTGCATGGTATTAATTCATGTAGTCATGTTAGAAATACTCGTAAAACTTAGGCTCTACACCACATCGTTGTAAATTTCTTGTTTTCAGCTTTTAGAGTTAGAAAGGGTAAAATCAATATAAGTTATACTCCGTAAAAAAAAAAAGAAAAAAAAAAAAAGAAATTTAGTCATACCTCTTACTTAGATGTTAATTCAGAAAATTGTAAACAAAAAACGATAAAGATTATTGTACTTAGCGAGTTAACGGCCCGTTTACTAGGCTACAATATGTCAATATGTGCTTGGTTGGCAAGGGCAATGTTGTCTGCTTGTCTGTGTCAAGTGTCCCACATGACCTTACTGCTAAATTGCTAATACTCGATTATGTTTGTAGATTGTTCTAAAGCAAGTAATCAGGTATGGACCCAGCGAGTTGGCCCAGAAAAATCGGGCTAAGTTTCGCATGATGTAGCTGGGTCCAGATTCACAAAAAAAAAAAAAAAAAAAACATCGATGCATTATCTTTGTGTTGGGACCTTACGATAGGTTTAAGTAGTCAACATAAAGGGCCATTTAACTTGATTTAAAATTGTTTTGTTTTTTTTACAAAACCCCTTTTTCACGTTTTTTCTATTTTCTATTAGTAAAGTTTTTGTGTTTATTCTGTTAATTTTTTTTTTAAAAAAATAAAATAAAATCAGATAGAGTATTAGAGTGAAAATGAATAGGTTGATTTTAATAATCAAATGGAAGCTTTATTCTGTATTATATTAAAAAGCGTTAATAAAAATATAAGGATAAAGGGATTTGAACACCCAGCCACTTATAACAAAGTTGAGTATTTAACCATCTTAGCTCATTATCAAAAATGCTATAGAGATGGAAAAAAGAAATGCATATAAGTATAAACCACGTTAATTAATCATTGAAAAAAAAAAGTTCAATAATGTGAATTTCAGATTTCAAATCCTTAAAAAAAGGGGAACCAAAAAAAAAAAAATTGCATGATTACAAAAGTACCAATGGGGCAACGCCCGGGCTACTCACTAGTTCATATATTTTATGTAGTACTATTCAAAAAAAAAAAATGTAGTACTTGCACTTTGCCTCGTAATGAATTAACGAGTATTCCTTCAAAAAAAAAATGTATGTTGGTTGAAGTTTTTAGGGATGGTGCCTGCATTACAAATTCGTGATTAATTCTCGTCTACTTATAAAATGCAAAAGTTTATTTTTCTTTCTTTGGACTATTTTCTTTTTGGTGTATTGTTTAAATCATTAATCATTTTAATCTACAAAATTCAATTAAGTATGAAATATGATACAATTTGGTCTCATAATCTTATTTAATTTGATCAGATTCTAATCAAAATAAGTAATACAAGTAATAAAATCTATAAATAAGGTATGTACCACTATAACACATAGCCAAAACTTATCAGAATGCATCAACCTTGATTTAGTGAGAATTCTCAGATAGGGTAGCATAGTAGGGTTCCTATCCAGAAGATATGAATGTCACAAGCTCACAATTTATCTTTAGGGCAATAATATATGCAATCAATACATTTATTGTTAGAGCAATAATACATGTATTCAGTAAATTTATTAAAACCTCCGTAGTAGGGTTTTTAATTATCTCATATCCTAGGGGTTTGAATCATACCAAGTAAGACTGTAAATATTAAATCAAAAAATCGTGAGGGTTGAAGTTTAGTTAAACTTTTCATTAATAACGTATTCCAGCATTCTTTTCAAACGAAAAAAACAAGCCACAACTACTTTCCATTAACAATGGCATATTCAACAGCTAAAAACTATTTACTATTTTACTTTACCGAACAAGATCAAAATCTCAAATTTGATACCCAAGACCTGAAATCGAATTTCATTTACTCTACTATTCACTACTCTCATTTAAGACTAATTCCAACATCCATCTCTTCAATAATTGTAAAGAAATCGTCGTGTTTCACATGGGCCATTACCACGTCCAAGTACATCCTTTCTACTCACATCAATATCTGATTTTGTCCCCCATGTGACGTCCAGGTACATGCCCCTTCACCAAAATTACCATAAATACCACTCTCACCCTTTCTATTTTCATCTCTTTTAAAACCCTCAACAATTCTCACACCACAACAAAACCAACCACCTAAAAAACGCGCGGGGCAATTTCGTAATTCCACCACTTCGCCGGTAAAATGATTTCCGACGCCGGAGCTCCACTACTTCCGACGAAATGCGTCGCCGAAAAACGAACCGACACTGAAGCGTCGATTTCTGGCGCCGTGTTTAATGTGTCGACGAGCATTATCGGTGCCGGAATTATGTCAATTCCGGCGACATTGAAGGTTCTCGGAGTTATTCCGGCGTTTTTTCTGATTGTTACCGTCGCATTGTTGTCGGATTTGTCTGTCAACTTTTTGCTTCGGTTTACTTACTCCGGTGGTTCGGTGAATTTTCCCGGCGAACCGGCGACGTACGGTGGTGTTATGAGGGAGTCTTTTGGTTGGGTTGGATCTTTGCTTGTTAAGCTTTGTGTCATCATTTCAAATTGGGGCTGCTTGATCGTTTATCTTATTATTTTAGGTGACTTTTTTTTAATTTATTTAAATATATTTAGCATTTTTGTTGATGTTTTGCATTGATACATGTAGTTTGATTTGTTTTTTAATCGTTTTGGATTTAGTGTTTTAATTATTTATTTTGGTGATAGAGATTTTAAATTAGATGAAAAGTCTAGCAAAAGTCTCACTATAATTGAAAAAAGTTCTAGTATGTAACTATGTACATAGTCGTGATGTGTGGATTAGTACATAGTCGTGATGTGTGAGTACTAATGAAGTGAATCGAGTGATAAAGTAATATACTCGTGTTAGTCTACATAGTCGTGTGGATACTTGATAGAGGCATAGAGCCGATGCAAGTGATATACTCGTGTAAGTGTAGATAGTTGATCGAGCTCACAATCCCTAGGCCGACCTTAAAATGTTTTGTACGTGTTCGATAACAAATATGTTGAGTAGATATGAATATATGATGCTAGTGTTTACGGTTCTAATAATCATCATTAGGTTTGACCAACTAGAATCTGACCCGAAATGAACCTGAATCTGATCATTTACTGTACTGTCTTCTTGAAATAGCTGAACTTTGATCAAACAACTTAGGCAGATAAAGTGCCACATCCATACATCCCTTTTATGTTGTGCAATTTATGCCAATTCTTGCAAATTTATGTGCTTTTGAGAGACTGTTTCTGTATTCGATTGATTGTTTTATTGGACTCTCTCTGCCTCTCTCTTTATGCTAGAATTGGCATAGTCAGTTAACTTCTAGCTTAAATTAACATCAAAAGATCAAATTCAAGCTGGTTGAATTAGAATTTTACTCTATTAGGGACAAATCTGGACTGTCTATGAGGTGTACAGAACAATCTGATTAGGTGATTACTCTTAAGTTGTAAGTTGTAACAATGTGTCATAAGCTTATTTCTTTTTTTGTGTTAGATATTCAATATTCATATATTCTTGGCTTACATATATATGATGATGTTTTCCATGATGAACACTTACAACTGTGCTTAATATCCTAGTGCTTTTTAATTCTGCAGGCGATGTTTTCTCTGGAAGTGAGAATGGAGATTCCATTCATTTGGGTGTTTTACAAGAATGGTTTGGCTCTCATTGGTGGAATGCTCGGCCTTATGCCCTTTTCTTCATTGTCACATTCATTCTTCTCCCTTTAGCACTTTTCCGGCGTGTTGGTAAGCTCAAACTCAGTTTATTCGTACTACTTATATAATTTACTTTATGCTGCAATAGATGCTTTCCTGAAAAACAACTGATAAAGTCCTAGTTAAACGTTACTCAGGCGTGATCATATCAAATTTGGTCTAAGTGTGAGCTGAATTTCCATTTTTTCTTTGCAAGCAGAATCCTTGAGGTTTTCCTCTGCAGTGGCTGTTCTCCTAGCTGTGGTGTTTGTTTTCATCAGCTTCGTGATGGCCATCTCTGCGCTCTTTCAAGGAAATGTTCAAAAGCCTAGATTGTTTCCTGAATTGGATGGTCATTCCTCATTCTTCAACCTCTTCACTGCTGTCCCAGTAATTGTTACAGCATTCACATTTCACTTCAATGGTGAGTAATATAAATTTCCACTATAATAGTATTAACTATTAAGTGAATTCGGACATAATATAGTAGTAGTGGTATGTGCAATCTAATCCGAACTATGAGTAGTTTATTTACCACCTTTTACATAATTTTGTTCTCTAGTCCAAAGGAACCTTTTTACATGGAAATATATAAACTAAAGCTTTCTTAACTGCCTTGAGAAAAGAAAAGAAGGGAAGGTGTTTCTCTAATCTTTGCACTAAAACTATGTATAGACCTTTAATTTTCCTGTTACAATTTTTTTTTTTTTTTTTTTTTTTTTTTTTTTTTTTTTTTTCATTTTTTACCTCAAAACTGAAAAAAATATGCAAAACTGTGTTGCTGGGAAAATTTCTCAGTTCAGCACAAGCTGCTCAGTGCTCACTTTCAGAACATTTTTTATTAAATTTTCTTGATACTAATTACTATGAGTTAAAGGTAAATGAAATCATATTTTGATATAAAGAGTGCATCTGAAATATGTAATTGTTTTCCTTTGTAGTTCATCCAATTAGTTCAGAACTTGGCAAGCCGTCTAAGATGACAACAGCAACAAGAATTTCTCTCATACTTTGTGTTGTCATCTACTTCTCTGTTGGCTTCTTCGGGTACCTTCTGTTTGGGGAGTCAATTGCTTCCGACATACTTGTAAACTTTGACAGGTCTTCTGCAAGTCCTTTCTTGAATGATGTGGTACGGTTGAGCTATGCTTTTCACCTTGTGCTAGTATATCCTCTGCTGAACTTCTCTCTGAGGGGCAACATAGATGAACTCCTGTTCCCTAAGAAGCTAGTTTTGGCTAATGACAACTTCAGATTCGTGTCTCTCACTCTAGTACTATTAGGCTTATCATACTTGGCTGCTATTGCCATCCCGGATATATGGATATTCTTTCAGTATGTTGGTTCAACTACCATCATCTCAATAGCATTCATTTTCCCTGCTGCCATCACTCTAAGGTATACTACTCTGGCTTTTACTTCTTTTTAGTTATATATGGATACAAATTGTCATTGCTAATGAAATCCGTTTTCTCATGGCAGAGATGTCCGCGGTATATCTTCAACAAGAGATAAAGTTGTTGCCTTGATAATGTTGACTTTGGCAGTAGTTACCAGCACGATTTCTATTGCAACAAATATTTTCAACGGAAGCAAGTCTTAGAATTACCCTCTTAATCATGATTTTCTGGCTCGATTATATTCATCGCGAGTATTTTTGGTATATTATATGATTATAGTGTCTGTAAATTGAGTGGGAATGCGGTTGATTTTAGCACCATGAGCTATTCATGTGTAGATGTGAAGTAAATGAGTAAATACATGGCCTTGTTCCAACTTGGAATGATGTCTTTGTATCATGGACTGGTGGTATGTGTATGTAACTGTGTTGGAGAGTTGGTCATCTGCAGATAGAAATAGGGTCAGAGGTTTTTGCAATCTAATGTAAATTTTTATACATATATGGATTTCAACTTACATTCATGGAGTGAAATCTTAATTTTGAGTACTTTTTATTTAGAAAGAATAACTATTTATGATTGAGAAAATGTAATATTTATTCTTTTTTGACGAATAATGTTTATTCTTAAATCAAAGAAGCTACCCATATTTCTAATTTTCATTTTATTGAATAGACCTACCAAAAAACCATAATACCTCCAAGGTCTCCAACTCTATCAATATAAAAATATGTAAATTGCAAACGAGAGCTACGAATTTCATCCAAATGGCAAGAGTATAATAATATTCGTATAGCCGGAAATTATTTACTGCAAATGAAAACATGTGTAAATCATAATTTAAAATTTGCGTAACCTTTAATCTACCGCCATTATAGAATATTGACTCTCCTATGACAAATGCATAGGAGTAAATCACGTTGTTCAGAACTAATCATGCGCGCAAGTGAGAAGTTTTCCGGTTCAATCAGTCCGCATTAAGAAAACTTTTTAATCCATTGTCAATCAAAGACTTTTCGATACGCTTAGTATATACCACCAAGTTTTAGGTAACATTTTATAATTTCTGAGTAACATTTGCGCTCATGTAGGGTGTGGGTGACTTCTAATCGAGTATGATTTTTATTACATGTGATAATTTATTACTCCCTCCGTCCCCGAAAGAATGACTCATTTGGGTTGATTATGCGGGTATTAAGAAAGTTAAATAAAAATAAGTAAAAGTACATTGAAAAGATAAATTTACATGAGGTTTGTAAAAAAATAGAGAGAGAAAGTAATAAAATTACATGAAAAATCAAAATTTTAGATGGGAAAGCTAATTTTGCACAAATATTGCTGCAAATTAGTGGGTGTTTTAATGCAAATGGGTTATTCTGATTGGGACTAAAATTAGGCCAAATGAGTAATCTTTCGGGGACGAAGGTAGTAATTTTAAACAGTTCGAGTACATTTCTCAGCGTCTAGGATGGTTGACTTTCAGGATCAATAACATTGCAATGCAGTGATGAATAGCCCAATAAAGCCCATAACAAAAAAGTCGTAGGTTTAATTGAAGGCCCATAAATTGGCCCATTAATAAGAAGTTAGGGTTTTTCCCAAGGTCTTATAATCCCTTCACACTTCCCCTTCTTCGTCTTCTTCACCTATCATTTACTCTGCGCCGTCTCTCTCCTCTGCTTCCTTTTCAGGTTTCTCTCTCTTCTCTCTCCTATGCTTCCTTCATTGTACAGTCTTTTTTCTTTTAAATTTCTGAATTGGTTTGATCTTTGCTTTTCAATTGTACTTCTCAATTTCATGTTTGATTCTACATTCATGCCTTTTTTGGTTGTTGTTGTTGTTGTTGTTGTTGTTGTTCGTGTTGATTTAAATTTATTTTTATTTTTTGAGATTCCTTGAAAATTGTAGAAAAGCCCTTATTTTTTCGATATTCTTCTAGGTAATAAACTATGAAATTGTTTGAATTTGTTGCTTTGAATTAGAAATGAAGAATACGATGTGGGATGTGGGGTTTTTGTTATAATTTGCGGGTGTTGATCAATTTTATTGGGATTAATGGATTGAGTGTTTGAACTAGTTGTAATATATTCCAATTAATGAATTTTATTTGGTGTTTCAACCAGAATTTAATGTTACTTCCATTCTAAAATTAATATAATGGCTTGATAATCAAGCTGTTAGTTGAAACCCTTGATGAATATATGTTATGTGGTTTCTGTTTGGACGATTTGAATTGATTTGATTTTAATAATCTATTAGTATAAGCTTGCAACTTATTGATTACGAAGTATATAATAATAAAGCTGCATTTTTTGTTTCAAGTAATTTGAGCTTTAATGTTGGTTCATGCTATATCCATGGAGCATGGTATATGTTTAGGTTGATCGGTCATCGGTTGTCGTCCCTAATTGATTGAACGTATAGCGTGATTTTAGTTGTTGCATTTGCCGAGAATTGCTTCTTGGAGCGTGTTTTGATAAGTCTTCTTTATTGTTTAAATTAGGTATTTGCATTGTTGTGTTATCACCTACAAACTAAGCAAAGATGCAAAACGACGAGGGAGAGATTATCGATCTTTACATTCCCAGGAAATGGTATGCTTATAAGTTTTTTGACAATGGGATTAGATTGTCATTTGTATTGTCTAAGGTTAACTGGATAATTGACATCTTTTCTGGGTCTCGTGTTATTTCAGTTCGGCCACTAACAGGTTGATCTATTCCAAGGACCATGCTTCAGTCCAAATCAATGTTGGTCACTTAGATGACAGGGGTATTTACACTGGCAGTGCCACCACCTTTGCTCTTTCTGGTTTCGTCCGTGCTCAGGTCTGGAATGTTTACCTGTTCTCTCTTTAATTCTTTCTTGCAAATAGCCGTCTGAACTGGGTAGCTTACTTGGGATTTATCTTTTTTTGCAGGGTGATGCCGACAGTGCCCTTGATCGCCTTTGGCAGAAGAAGAAGGCTCAAAGTGGCCAGTAAGGAGTTCAAATTATCTCAGTTAGTGTTCCTGGGTAGTATTAACCAGGAAGGATGTGGAAGTTCGATTGCTGATGTTATGAATCAAAAAAAGATTTAAGAACTCAATTTTGTATTTTTACTCTTTGGAGTTTAGAGTTTGTTTTTAGTTGAATTGAATGTTAGTTCTTTGGTTATAATATGGATTTGATGGTATATCATCAGCTAATATGATTAATTTGCTGTCTTCCCTCTATTTTGTGCAAAATCTTTTTGAAGTATTTTGGTTTCTTTTCCATGTTCTGGTTTGCTATTTCTGAGCAGTATTGCTGGCATCCAATTGAAACCATTTGTAGTTGGATCAAACTACTTCCCTTGTGTTGAATTGAAGTATTTTGATTTCAGTTATCTACAGAGTGTAAACTCTGGTGTAACAAACCTTAGGGTTTGTTCTCGTTCTCTTATAAAATATTCATTTCAGCACAGTTCAGTCAATGAGAACAGACCCTTAAATTGAAACCCATCTACATTTACATTCAAGGTCTGATTTGAGTATCTTAGTACTGTAAAGGCAGTGATAATTTTGATTGAGATTTCTGAAGTTATTGGAGAGAGAGGACTATACATTGTTGTTCATCGTTGAGGGTAGTGAGTTGAGCGGTTGGAGGTCAGGAATAGTGTATTGAGGTCCTATCCTTTGGAGAAGGTTCCAGCACAAAGGCTAGGGATTCAAGTTCAAGCACTGAACCATTGTTGAGGGAGTATCTAATATTGTTTCTTGGAAAAGGCAATGAAAGAACTACTGTCCACGTAGGCTCGGATAAGTTTATTTTTGTCTTTATTTTTCAAAGTAAAACCGCTACTTATGGATTATGTTTTCGTAAATAAGTTTTATTCCAACGCAAAACTGAAAATAAGTTTTTTAAAAGCTATATTTTTGTAAATCATCCGTGGACTCAATCACATGGGTCCTACGGAATGCTTTGGATTCAATCACAATGGTCATAGGAATCAAGTGCAAGCCTATGCACGATTTAAGAGAAATGGAGGCAGGATGCTTGGAAAAGGATTCAAGTGCAAATAAAAGCGAAAAGGTACTCACGTTGGAGTATCTGACAATTTGGAAAAAAAACGTTTTCTGTAAGAAGAATTTGGGTTTCGTTGAGTTTGTTCAGGTTAGGGTAGTAAAAAAAAGGTTAGGGTAGTAAAAGAAAAAGGGTAATATATTAAGAAATGAACAAGTAAAGTGAGACAATTATTTGATCAACAATTACATTAATTAAATAGACCAGTGCCAATCAAGATCATAACTCTAAAAATGGGTCACACTCCATGAAGTATGAATCACATATTGAAATTATCAGGAATTGACACAGTTTTACAGGGCACTAAACTCAGCAAACCTCCTTGCACAAATACATTAAAAAGAACATAAAACATGCTGCACCTGCACCTGTTGCTGAAAGGGCAGCACATCTGATTCTAGTCTTCAAAAGAGTCGTAATTAATCATGCTGCATCTGTAAATGTATACCCTCAAGATGAAAATATTAGTTAAAAGCCAAAATTTTCAGTTGTATCACAAATCTTCAAACTTTTTCAGTAAACTTGACTTGTAAGTGGTGATGTCTTGATCCTTAGCAGGGTCTGGAACCGACCTGATCACTGAAATTGCTCCAGCTTGGTGTAACGCAGCAGCAGCTTCATCTGCAGAAACCAATGTTGTTAATACATGGAGTGAAATATCAATTTTAAGTCCAAAACTAAAGGAGATCTGTAACATTTTCAGGATAATAAACAAAATTCCCATGTCAATCACTACTATTATAGCACAAAACGACTAGGCATTAATCTTCATCACCTCCTAGAATTTGACTCTAAAATATTTACTGACTGAATTATCTACTTCCTTCAACCAGGGAACTTAACCAGAGCACTTGGATCAATGTGAGAAACTCAATAAAGCATTGTATTTCTATCCCAACCATATATCACTGGAATAAGTAGAGGAGTCCAATCTCTTGGTTTTAAGATACGGGAAAACTGAATTCTGTAGAAGAGAGGTACATTAAGCATATACCACCACTTCCCACAAGTGGATGAGGTCACAAGTCACATTCACACCAAAAACTCCCAATTTAAACTGCCTTCTTGAAAGCTGATGTAGCTTTGGCTTCCATCCCATGAATAACAAATCTACACTCCTAATCTTATACCCAGTTACCCACTAGACCCTCATGATCATTTTTTTTGTATACATGTTCATGTCATGTAAATCATAAATAAAAAATAAAATAAAATAAAATAAAATAAAAAATTACCCTTGGAAGTTTCCTTTGCAAAACAAAGATGATTTCACTAAGGAATTTCCAATAAAACAAGATCATGCTCAGTCTCCCCAAGTCTACAATTCCTACCTGAAAAAGGCTGTACAGAGAGAACTTGTACCATATAGTCCTAACAAGTGACATAGAAATATAAGAAAACAAAAGGCAAAAAGTCACAAGGATGCTTGAATTATACATAAATTATCCATTTAAAAACGTTGGAAGAAAATTCTATATTGTGCTAGCGAAAGGAGTTCTTCTCAATGTGATGGAGAAAGGAAGATATTCACAGATATCCGTACCTTTTTTCACCATTCAAATCCTATACATTACAGAGGTTATCTTTCTTTAAAAATAAATGCAAGGTGAGGTCAGTTGTTTGTTGTCCCTGAAGCCACCTTGAAATTCGTGAACTAATAACTGTATTTGCAAGTTTGGTGGCTCGGAATGACTATTGTATTATTTCTCATCGATTCTCTCAGCCTATGACCTAGTCTGCAGCAGTAATCTCTCATTGCACATCAGAACCTTATTTCAGTACTTAAATTTAACTATATGATCAACCTGATACTTCTGAAGAAGCTTCAGATTTCGTGGACAATATCATTCTTATTAGTAAGGTGTAAGTAGAGGCTTGTCAATCTATCTTCTGAAGTGCAATATGTAGAAACCCTATTATCTTGTTTATCAGAATAATGTAAATTTTAAGTCCTCAGAACCACAGAACGCTTAATAATTCATCCTTCATTGAAGATATCTGCTCATATCGAGTGTGAAATAACATATAAGAATGGTGACATGGTAAATTACCTACTATTATCATATAAAATGTGACATCTTTTAATCAAGCCCAAATTTACCCCCAAAAAATAGATAAAATCACAGAAGGGGATTCCTTTCTGAACTCAGTAATATCAATATTCTGTAATGTCCAGCAGGGTTAAAGACCCAACAGAAACCATCTTTTGAGAGCATTAAGTAAAAAAAATTGCAACAACAAATAATTGAATCGTACCTGAAGCTGAAAGAGCGGAAAGTGCTTTAAGTGCTTCTTTTCTAGTTCGGTCATCTTTAGCAGTGTCCAGCATTTTCACAAGCTCTTCAGCTCCACCCATCTCTAGAATCTTCAGCCTCCTTTCATCTACAACACATGTTGGCCACATGATAAAATACAAAAAGACTCATCCTTTTTACACTCTTTGAAATGCACTTCAGGGAGGAAAGCTCAAAGGAAATGCACAGAAACATCAATAAAAATAGAGAGAAAATTAATAAAAACTACATCTTGTTGCATTGGCTTCCATAATGCAGTTATAGAGCCCATCATTTTGTCAATGGCAAAGGGGTATTATAAGCGGTAGCACACTAGCATTGTTGATCACCAATAATAATCACCCACATACAGCATGAATTAACAGGTTTTTGCATCCACATTAACAAAATCTTGCAACCCTGCATATTCTTAAAAATTGAAGTGTTTCATGCAAATTGATCCAAAGTACTTGCTTGGTTACAAATAAAAGTTCCAAGTGATGGCTGGCAAGTGAGATGCAAGATGCATATAAGTGATATAACATAATCATGAAGGTGGACACATTATGTAGCTCAGGAGTATGCACATTTGCCTTTGCAAGATGATCCTTTTCTAAAAAAAAAAAAGGGAAACTGAATATGGGCTTAATATGCATATTTAAAGATGAAACACATGATGAATGTCTAATGTCCTCATTTCCACAATAAATAAGAACGCCCTAATAGTCTAATACACTTGTTGAGCAAATGCTCCCCTACCTCATAGCTCCAACATAACAAGTCAAAAACTACACCAAAAAATCTAATTCACAAGAAAACAAAAGCAACACAATTTAAGGACAATGAATAATACCGTCAACAGCGAAACGAGCAATCCTAGATGCACCCATTCTCTTAAATAAGGGATCTTTTACTTGCAAAAGTGACACAGATTGTTGTATCAAATTATCTCCTGCACAAGACAATTGAACAAAAACACAAGAAATCAGTAATAAATATAACAACAACAACAAATTAACCCGCTACATTATGCAAAAGTTCAGTTCTTTCTTCTTATACACAAAAATCCCAGATATAAAATGATAGATAGAAGGTAAAAACCAAAAATTACCCATGTAAGGGAAAAGATGGTAACCAACAGCAGTAGCAGTGCCAGCAAATATAAGCTTAAGCACCCATCCAATTTTTCTTTCAGCATCTTCTTCAAGAGTTAATTCTTCTGAAAATCCTAAAATCACAAGCAACCTTAATCAATTAATTAACTAAATAACCTAAATCCAATTCAATTCAATTAGTAATAATCACAGAAAAAAAAAAAGGCAACAAGTTCAACCTTTTGTTCTGAGAAATGTAGAGTTGCCATTAGATTGTACATTTCCTGGTCTAATTCTGCAAAAATACTTAAAACAGAATAAAACTGATGATTAATACAAGCTTAATTAATGAGCAAATAGGTTGAATATTGAAATAATCCCAGAAATTAAATTTATGAAATAAAAACTCACAGTATAAATCTGAGCCGCTAAACCACGCATTGGGATTGAACAATGGAGGATTATTTGATCTTGTTAATGGGTGTTTAACAAAGATACTTAATTTCAGAATGTTTCTGGGTATTTCTCAAATTAAGTGATCTTCCAACACTCAAGTTTGGGCACAAAATTAAGGTCGGGTCTTTATAGATATCGACTTCGATTTTGAGGAGAAAAAATGGGAAGGTTCTTTTGGAGTTTTTGGGTCATTCGCCTTAGGCTTTGTTTGGTTCAATATTAGTAAAGGAAAAGAAGAGAAAGGATGGAAAGGGAAAAGAAAGGAAAAGAAGGGAAAGGAAGGTGATTTTATTTTCTAATATTTGGTTGATGAATAGGAAATGAAGGGAAGAGAAAGGAAATTACTTTAATTTTTCTCTTTTCAGTCAAATTCCTCCGATTTTGGGAGGAAAGGAAAGCCAAAATTTTGTTAAGAGACTTTCCTCCCACTTCCCTTCCTTTCCTTTAGATTTTTATGTCATTTATTCAACCAAACATGGGAATTTGATTAAAACAATTTTCGATGCACGACAATATTTGGTTGGTAATGGGTCGAAGCACGACATGATCCGATGCGAGTTTGTTCTGCGGTTCTGCCCCAATCAAACCCATATTGGCTCGTGACTTGTGAGTCGAGTGGTGTGAGAGTATGATACAACACGAGATTTTCGTAGTCATGCCAATTTTAGTACTCATAGGTTTGTTCAACCATGATACAATACAATCATGTCGCATTTTAACCGTTTCATGTTTGACCTATTCGTTGGCATGACCGTATGACCTCAATGTCAGGCTGACCAACTGATCGGTTAACCTTTGGTTTTGCCTAGTCAATAAATTTTGAGTTTATATTTCATTTTACCATCTATATTTAATTAGTTTTGTAAATTAAATTTACTCGATTTTAGTTGTTTTTAGTTGAAATTGGGTAATTTGGTGAGGGAAATTTTGTGTTGTTTTAAATTGACAATTTATTTAAATTCAAGTTAGCAAATCTCTTATATTGATTGATATCTTGTATGAAGTGCATAGTTTAACAAACTCTTTGCATGGAGATAAGCTAAAATACAATCCCTGAACTATGGCATTAGTTGTATATTTGGTCCCTCATCTTTCAAATGAGGCAAATTGGTCCCTCTACCACCCTTGTCTCACCATTTCTGGTGGAGGAACTTTTGAGTCAGCAAAGTTTGGGGATGTGTACTGCCAACTAAGCAAAAGTTAAGGGACTTATCCTAGTTAGCATTTGTTTAGGGATTACAAATCATTTTTTTTTGTCAGCTACTAATTAATATTTATTATTTATTATGTACAAACTTTGATTAAAATGAAAGAAAACATACCCAATTTTTTTGCTTTTTTAAAAAAATTAAATGACTATTTTTTTTAAAAAATATGACTTAGAGAATTAAAGAAGAAAATTAAATATGACTTAAAAAATTAAATACTTTGACTTTCTTTCAAAAAAAATTAAATAATTCGAATTAAAGAAATAGGAAAAGAAAAAAAAAGGGTCGGCCCTCTCTTCTTCTCTTTCGGTTTGGTTGCTCTAATGGAGAAACAATCCCCTACTTTGCACCTCATTAACGATCATCATCAATCACCATCTTTTAATCTTGGCCTCCTGATTTAATTAATTTTGTACAAGCTCATGCACAATATAGTTCAGCCGAACCGGAGGTTTGGGTTGCGTGGTTGATTAATGACGGTGGTGAAGCTGCAGACGGGTGGAAATGGGGTTATGTGTTTGTGTTGGTGATGTGGGGTGAGAAAAGGTGGAAAATCCTATAGTTTTTTTAAATTTTTTTTTTTGGAAATTCTATAGTTTGATTAATGCAAATCATAACCAAAATATTAATGTTGATGGAAAAAAAATAATGTAAATTAAAAGATTCCCTTTTAAAAAAATATTATTATTTTTTTTTGCCACATGGGCACTTTGGTCCTTAAACTTTGGTGACTCATCTTTTTTCCACCGGAAAAGTAAGTTATGGGTGGTTGAGGGACCAATTTGCTTCGTTTGAAAGATGAGGGACCAAAATGCTACAAATACTAAAGTTGAAGGACCGTATTTTAGCTTAACTCCTCTTTGCATGTGTTCTTTGAGAAATCTAGCCATTTCAAGTAAGTTTTCTTCTTTTCTGTCCAAGCCCCAAGGATATCATTATATCAACCACAATCTTATAATTAGCATATCAACATCCAAGTGACGAAAACTTTTCATAGACTTCCTTTCACTTTATTGAATGTTAATATAATTTCAATCTTATAATTAACATGGCATATAAGAAAAGAAGTTAAAAATGAAAATATTAAATCTTATAATTAACATGGTATACTTCCTCCGTTATTTTATAATTGCACCACTTGCCTTTTTAGGAAGTTTCACAAATATTGCACCATTTCCTCTTTAGGAAAAAAATTATTTGTGTTCACACTACAAATACCCAACATACCCTTACTTTTTCACACTTACTTTTTAGTTTATCAATATGTCACATGGGCAATTTTGTATTTTTACCTTTCTCTCTCTCACTTTTTTCCACTACCAAAATATTTGTACCAAACCCTTATGGTGCAATAATAAAAAAAAACAGAGGAAGTATAAGAAAAGAAGTTAAAAATGAAATTATTAAACTTTTAAAAATTTTATTCACTGCCCTAAAGATTTTATATTTCATTACTCTAAATAAATAATTCGTAAATAATATTGCATCAAATATTTTAATGGAACAAAAATCTAAAATAAAAATAAAATTAGCCTCATTTCTTTTTAAATAAATTTCTTTACAGAAGAGTAGTACAAGAACCAATGAAGTGTTGACAAAATGAATTTACACTAGAAAATTAAAAAAGATCCCCACAATTTTTTTACAAATTAGTTTTGCTCCCACAAAATTAAAATGTAAAAAATCAACTTTCAGAATGGAGAAGTAAAGTATAATTAAGTTTTCTAATTTGGAGCATGATATGTACAAGTGTACAGCAATAGGGAGTAAGTACTATTAAATGGCGTTACCCATGATTATAAGTACAGACATAACAAATGCGTAATCTATACCTTCAATAACTTCAACCTTCAACACGTCTTTTCCATGAAGAAAGTTCTTCCATGTATTTCTATGTTCAACCTGTAAAATAATGTTTGCACAAATTACTACCCTTAATCATAAGTAATTACCGCGTCTTGCCTTTGTTTCAAAAGAATCTTAATACCTAGAAAGTAATCTACCCATTTATCGGAATTCTCTCTATTATTTTCAAATTTCAACCGTAGTTCAATAGATTTAGCATAAAAACTTATACTAATTCTTAAATCCCCAACCTATTCTTATTATGCATTCTAACCGTTCATACAATGATTATGCTCTCCATTTCTTTTTACATCACGTAATAAAGACGGTTCAATTATCTTATACAACTATCAAGTATAAAGATCGAACTTAAGAAATTAGTAATCCGGGCGACTTACTCGGGCGATAATTCTACTGCCTTGGTACATTAACTTGAAATGCGCTCGTTCTTTGCACTTTGAACATGTGATCCGGTGCATCTGTGCTTTCTCCTTCATATACATCCCATCGACGTTTATCCGTAATACGCTACATAACATAACATCAACACCAAAGTTATAGACTATTGCAAAAGAGGCAAAGATAGGTATAAAAGTTGTGCATTGATAAACATAAACGTTCACACGTCTAGTCCTTGATCGTGTATGTGTGCTATAATAGGGTATATTGTATGATTACCGCTTCACGAAGTGTGACAATAGGAGAATCATGAGAGTCTTTCATTAGGAATGTCCTATGAAGCAACCAATTGAGACCATCAGCTTGTAGGAGAAGATTTTGATCAACATCAAAAACTTGGAAAACAGCATTGGTTTGAAATTTAGTCATTTTCTTTAGAACTATAAATTCTTGGGATTTTTGGGTGCAGTAGTTTTCATCGATGATTGCTACTTTTGATTCCGGTTTATCGTCTTCTACTTGGGGATCATCCGCCATTGCTTTAGAAATTTGTCAAAAATTTAACTGCATTCAATCCTTTTTTCAGTTTTTGTAAAATGGAAAAACCAAGTTATTTAATAAAAGCAGAACACAATTGAAGTAGAATTGCATAATTAGAGGAGAGGAAAAGAGAGTTTGTAGGACAATAAACGATCAGCATGTTATTTGCCTTTGTCCATTGTTGCAAATATAGGAATGCATACTATTGTTGAACAATTACATTTGTGATGCTGGCCACTTGTGCCATTATGATCAACATCCGAGGGCGGTCTGAGCTCACAACACAGGTATCCTTGTGCTCTCTTGGATGAGTGGTGATGCAGTGGTTACACCTGCAGCCACCTACTTAGTTGTACATCCTACATGTTGCCTGTTTAGTGGTACATCATATACGATCTTTTTCTAGTTTATCGCAGAGTACAGAGTACTTTAAAATTACACATTTCGTTGTTGTTTATTATTGCCTTCATCTTGTGTGCTTGTCAAATTCGAAATACAGAATACACAGGAAAAGGAGAAAATTCAAGTTTACAGGCAAAACTAATACTCACATAACTAGGCCTTCTATAACATATAGTAATAAATATCATGATCCATGAATTGGAATTACAGTGTACACTCCCCATTTGTTTTGGGGAGGACTATATCTTCCTTACTACCTACAGATTTGGCTAGCAAAACCTCTCAACAAAGAACTAAAAGCAAAAAACTGGAAAAAAATGGGGAAATCCCATTAACTACAAAATAGACCGATCAAAATTTGTGTAGGATTTTGTCAACAGCTCAGGCTACTTTTAATTTAATCTTGTCAGCAAATGATCTTATACAAGCCTTGCCCTCTTGAGAAATCAGCAGCTTTGAAAACCACTATTTCCTGAAAAAAAAAGTGAAATGAAAAAAAGGTGAGAATTTGGAATTTGTGACTGCTGTAGAAAACACCAGCACATCTACTACTCTGAACTCAAGCTAACCTGTTCCTCTTCATTGATGGGACAAGTATTCCTCTCTTCTCTAGACTCTTAAACCTATCCCTTGCTAAAGTATAACAAGCCTTAGCAAAACAGAAACACAAATCAAGAATTAGGGAATATACTGAAATTATCAAACAAGTGACCAGACATATATCCATCACAGAAGGGAAGTTGATTTTATAAGCAACAAACCTTCAGCTTGCGGAGGGATCCAGTAATTTCTTCAGTCAGGAGAACCTGAGTCGGGGCAGGCTCAAACCTGAAAGCAACATTCATTGGCATTAGAAGTAGAGGTGGAAAACCAGTAGTTTGGCTCAGGAGCATTCTGGTGGTGTCATTCAGTCCAGGATAAGGTCGGGTCCAGGGGGTGCTTTCGTTTATTATGGAAGATAAATCACATTTAATAATAGATTTCGACTTTCCGTGTACAGACGAAAGGGGGGGGGGGGGAGGAGCGCACATTTAACAATAATTCAACATGAAATCAGACCATCAGGTACCACATACTTTCGTTTTCCCAAGCGTGGAGGGCCTGATTTTAGCCTTTCTTCTTTTGCTACCATACGACGGAGATGTCTCTTTTGCTTTTCTTCGTCCTCTTCAGCTATTTCCTTAAGTAAATCCGGTATGCTGCAAGAAGGAAACAAATAAAGAAATGACCACCGTTTTTATTCTATTTTTTTTTTTTTTTATAGAAGGACTACTTCATTGCCCCAGATGAGTAAAACATACCTGTCAATTTCCTTTGAAAGCTCTTCAATCTTCTTGGCTTCTGCTGAGGCCTTTTCCTGTTCCTTCCGTCTAATTCTTTTGTTTTTCTCAACAGTTGTAATCCGTTTTTCTTTAGGTTTCCTGCAGCATTATTTTTCTAAGCTACATGAGCTCCCAGGTCAACCTTACATCTAACCAAGGTCAAATACACCAGAACAAAATTGTCTACATAGAGAAGATAGCATTTACAGAAAATAAAGAAGATAAAAAATTGCAACCAAAAAGATACGAGCATGGAAAATCAACAGATGGATCTTCTAGCCAAACAAAACTCAAACTTTGAATAAAAGGCTGTACAGATTAAGCAACAACTTTGACTTGTTACAAAGAGGGAAGGGGGCCAAGCACAAAAGATATTGCCAAATATTTCAGAAGCAGCAACTCTGAGTCCAACATAATTTCTTAGTTATGGCACACATATATAAGAGTACAAGTCTTCTACTTATAAAACAAATGCAAAATTTACCTTTTTTCATCTTCGATATTCCCATCTTCAGTTTGATTTTCCTCGTCCATTTCCTCATCATCTTCATTGTCGACTTCCAGAAAATATTTCTGATAAATGTTACTATTGTCAGGATCTTCTGTTGCTTCACAAGACAATTACAAATGGCACAAGGCTCAAACCAGGCCGGCTAAAATGAATAAGAAACTTACATCATCTTCAGTGACTGGTTCTCCAGGAACAGTTAAAGGAATTGGCTCAGGCTCCAGCTCCTTTTTATAAATTTTCTTCATCTCTTCTGCAACAGCTTGTGCCAAGGAGTCCTGAAATGCTCATCGATTAAAATTAAGTAAATGTTTGATGTAATTAAAATCGAAAGACAATTAGAGATATTGGGTAATAACTAATAACCTTGTGACTCTCATCCTCTGGATTAAAAGAGCATCCTTGAGGCTCAACTTCAACTGCTGGAATTTGTGAAGGTTTACCTTTCTGTAAATCAAACAATTCATAATGTTCACCAGTCAGACAAGGGAGCTAGATCATACGCAGCCAGATATAAAAAGAATCAAGTAATAGACTCTGTGCATCAAATATATATCTAAAAATCAAGGGATCTCATAAGAGACCTTGACCCAAAGATCAACAGAAAAGGTATCCAAATTTGACAAGCCAAATACTTCACATAACATGTGTAACAATGTAAGCACCTTTTAATGGGAAATAAATAATCAAATGTCTACATACTTAAGAATAGGAAGCACAATAAGCGAAGGAGTGAATCATTAGATGATTAGATTAGCACAATTCTATTCAAAATGACAATCAAATAAAAAAGAAGCAGAAACATTAAAGTATCCAAATACCAAGTTTTGTACACCTAATTTGCAGCCAATGACATGTGTTTCTAAGATATCAAATATTTTACTAATGATGATTGATTAAAAAAAGATGATTGGATGATGAATATGTTCTTTCTACTAGTAGAATATCGAGTATGAATTGCTTTCTGTACCTAATGCAAATGATAAAACAAAAAGAAAAAAAATTAAACACCACCAATGTAGATACAAATATACTCTCAAAATTTCAAACAAAAGAAAATGAATAGCTAGTCATCAACATACCTTCTTGCCCTTGATATTTAATGTACCTGCAAAAATGCAAGAAAGACAACTTGTAAATCACATGATAAAGTTAGCAACAGGATCATCTGGAAACTCAAGATAACGAAGATAGTAAATATTACTTTGAGCATCCCATATATCAAATTTGCCAGATTCAGGGCCTTTTTTATCCTGAAAAAACAAAAGCACATGTTACACTTGATACATTGTCTTAACACTCAACATAGCTAGTTGCTGATGTTAAAAATACACACTTTATCTTTGGAAGAATCCTGAGACTTAGCCAAATCAACTGTTTTCCTTTTCTTCTTGGAATCCTTGAGAATAGATGACTCCACAGGTTTAACAAATTGATTCCTCTGCAGTATACTCTCGAAACGCAGTACTTTCTCCCTCTTCTTCTCAATTTTACGCTTCACCGGTACATCTAAATCATTCAAAAACCCCAACTTTCTTCAATTAATTCATGTAAAAACTGTACCCACACCCAAAATAAATTCCTTAACCTAGGGTACCTCACAAAAATTCCTAATTCATACATCGTCTATGATTTTTTGCTTCTACAGTCACTAGTACAAAAATTTGCTTAAGGTAATATTTTGATTCTACTACAACAAAATTTGTGACAAAACATACAGGTCTAGGTCACACTCGGGTACCTCACCCGATAATCCAGAGCCTACTAGACTCTTACTAATCCCTCAAATTCTCACATAACAAAGTATACAAGCTTTAATTTTAAATATATTAAACAATAATGGAATTAAACAAAAATACCCATAATCAAAATCAAATTCACAACAATCATCAAATTGAATCCTTCAAATCAACTAAATGTTCATATATCGAAGTATAATAGCTTTAATTTGAAAAAATTCTCATTTAACACATAAACCCATATGCAAAATTAAACCCTTAACTCAAATTGAATGCAAAAAACAATGAAATTAAATTAAAATCAAGAACATAATTAGACGGAAGATAGAGAAAGAGATATACCAGTGGATTTATCAAGAACAAAGAGAGAATCACTGGGAGCAGAAGCAAGAGAACCGCCGGAATTAGCGTCACGAGTAGTTTTCTCGGTGAAATCCTCGAATTCTTCAGAGCTGATATTGCGCCATGCTTTCTTCACCTTCTTCGCTCTCTTCTTCCCCATTGTTGGTTTTTTCTCTCTCCTCGCTGCTGATGTTCTGTGTGTTTGGGTGTTTCTGCGAGTAATGGAGGCGGACAGATGAAGTTGAAGAGTGGTTTTTTGGTTCAGGTTTCCTTGCTTCCTTTTTAGCGTTTACGGTGTAGGATATTTATGTGATTACTTTTTTTTTATTGGGGTTGCGTTAAAAAAAACTTAGGTCGTGTTTGGGAAAAAACTGAAAGTTGAATCTGATTGTATTAGCTGATTGTATTACGGAGCAAATGATTTGACTAACTTATTTTATTAGTTCACTGTAGAAAAGTGTTTAGTAGCTGATTGATTATGTGAAATGACCAATAAGCTAATTGTGGGTAGATAATTCATATAGGCCCTGTTTGGTAGTAAGCTTATTGGGGGTATATTAGCTTATTTGACTAACTTTAGCTGATTGACTAGTCAAACAAGCTAATACAAGTGCTTGGACGCTTGGTAGTAAGCTTATTGAAAGAGCTTATTCCACTAAATAAGCTCTTTTTGAAAAAGCTCATTTTAGGAGCTTTTTCAATTAGCATATTCATTAATTATTGTGAAATGACATTTATAACCTCATTTAATTTAAAATCCTATCTAAACTACCTACCTCACAATTAGTTTATTCTCAATCACCTTTAAACTATCAGCTATTTACCAAACACTTTTATATAATCAGTTAATACAATAAGTTAGTCAAATCAGTTAATAAAATCAGATAGTCAAAATCAGCTAACTCAATCAGCTTCAGCTTTCTCCCAAACAGGGCCATAGTATTTTTAATTAAATGGGGATATAAGTGTCATTTTGTCATAAGAATTGAATAAGCTAACTGAAAAACTCCTTAAAGGAATTATTGAAAAATAGCTTATTTAGTAGAAGAAGCTCTTTAAATAAGTTTTCCACAAACACCTTGAATTAGCTTATTTAATAGTTAATACACTAATTTTGCTCAAATAAAGTAGTTACCAAACACAAACACAACCTCAATAAAAATAAGTTCAATTCAATGAGAAATCCAATTTAATACACGTAAAAATCGATAATTTTTAAAAATATATATAGAGAATTAGTATATATATTTTCAGTTCAATAATAATTTGGTTTGGCAAAAATTACTGATTACTCCCTATGCTTAATACTTCTATCAAATTTCATAACTAAGCATGTTATACAATTTAGAAACATAGAGAGTACTATCAATGTTCCCATTTTTCATAGTTTTATGGGATTTTGTTAGATGCGTGATATTATATATTTTAACAATAATATCAAGTTTTTACATATATAAATGAAATTATATAAATTTTAAAATGCATTTTGGAAACCGTTAAAAATTAAATGGGGGCAAAAATATAGGTATAGAAGGAGGAGAGACTATTATGTACACCCGGGGTCATTTGCTAATTTAATTTGTTTATTGAATGACCAAATGACCCCGGGTGTACGGTACACCCGGGTGAACATAACAAATTCTATAGAGGGAGTAATAAATAAGGAAACCACCCTTAAGATTGTCTCTTGAACGTCATGATTTATCCCAACTTAAAACCTAAAAAAGTGCTACAAAATATAGGTAAGAAATCGAATGCGGATTAATCCAAAAAATGAAACAAATGAGAACACTAAAAGGGGAAAAAAAATCAACTGGTCTCAACTTAACTTGAAAGTAATTTGATTTACATTTTGACTTACAATTTTACAAATGATTTAACACAACTCAAACATGGGTGATTGAACCCGACCCAATCCCCGGAATCAACACCTCTAGTCCTCTATGGCTCTAGGCCCGAATCCTGAGGTCCCTGACCCTCAAGCTTAGGACTAGACCAACCCAGTGACGGATCTTGGTCAAAACTATTAGAGGGGTCGGAATTTGAATCTTTTATCTCTCATAACAAAATAATCACTATATATTAATATTTTAAATTATATGTAAAATAAGGTTATTTAGCTAATTTATTTCAACATACCAGGGGCCGGGCCCCTAATAGCCCCGATGGAAGGTCCCCCTTTGGACCAACCTTATTTTGGTAGTACGCCAAATACACCGAGTATTCGGTAGGGAAAACTTGCACCACTACTGCACCAAAAACGAATACGCAGTAATTCGCTGCAACAATTTCTTTTCGAATTCTTTCAATTCTCACGGATTTGCTGAGAAGAAAAATTCGATTTTGTGTTGTGGATGTGATGAAGACGTGTAATGCAGACCAAATGTTCGGTGAAATTTCGCAATCGTGATCAATGAGGTAACGAATTTGAAATTAATCCTGTTTCATCACTTTTTAATTGAATTTTAAACATCGAATTTCTTCTGGAAAATTTAGTGTTCATAATTTAGTTACATTACATGAAAAATTGGTCAAAAAATAGCGTATGATTAAATTGAGAATTAACTCATTTTGATTAATTAGATAGATTAGCTTCATTAATTTGTTTTGTTTTGCAGTTTTAATGTTAAGAGATGCGTTTATAATTTGCTTTAATATTTTTTTTTTGTAATGATTTTCTCAGCTCAACGATTGTCGGCCATGTTTATCACATTTGCTTGATCAAATGATGGCAGCGAATTTTTGAATAAGGTATGGATTTTTAATTTTAATTGTTTTTGCTTAGAAGAGTGAAATTGATGAGAAAATGATGTTTTAATTTAAGTTGATATGATGTTGAATGCCTTGGGTCGACTTGTGTTACAATTCTGTGTTTTAGACTTTGCCTGTGTCCACAAACATTTTGTCGTGTGATATATGATAATTATAATGTACGGAACTTCGTGCTCGGTTTAACAGTTTTATATTGGAGTGTTTAGGGATTATTACGGGTTTATGTATATTTAATTAATACTTGTACCAATTAATATTATGTGCACCATGGTCTGGCCCAATCTGTGCCCAAAAGAGGAAGCCCAGACAATATAAGCCCTTGGAGTTTAGTTTTTTTTTTTTATTATTATTAAATAAAAGTTCCTCTTCTCTCCAACTGTCATATCTATTTTTTATTTCATTTAAAAAAATTTCTATCTCCTCTCATATATAAAAAATCTTTTTGAATTAATTTTTTTGTATTTTCTCTCTCCTATCACCATTTTTCTCTCTCTAAAAACTGCAATTTAATATGAAAAAGACAAAAACACACAAGAAAACTCCGTAAAAAAAATGAATATCACTTAAACTTCTTTGATTTTCCTACATTTGTGTTAAATTTGCTAATATAATTCAACAAATTATAAAATTGAAACTATGTTCTACTATATAATTGTCTTTTTGATTTTTTTTTTTTTTTTTTGTAGAAAATCGAAATTATCTACTCCTACTAAAGATGTATAAGTAATTTATTGTTTAAATTCGCAAATCGATCTTAAATTCTTAATTTTAAGAATTGAGTATTAAATTGAACCCTAAATTTTTTGAACAGTACAATTAGTCAAATGTTCAACGTCAGAACACCAAAAAAAGAAGAAATTAGATGATGTATATAAGCAGAAACCAATTGTTAAAAACTTCTGAACCCCAACCACAAACCACTGAACACCTTACGAAAACCTCTAAACCCCCTACAAAAACTTCTGAACATCAACCACAAACCACAAACCGCTGAACACCCTACAAAAACCTATGAACCCCCAACAAAAACCTTTGAACCCAACTACAAACCACTGAACACCCTATAAAAACCTCTGAAAACCTTTGAACCCCCTACAAAATCTTCTGAACCCCAACCAAAAACTACTGAACACCCTACAAAAATCTCATACGACTAGTCTACTACTCGCTTACCGAGAGTTTTAAACGAAACCCGTACAAAAACTTCTAAACCCTAACCACAAACCACTGAACCCCCGACAAAACTTCTGAACCCTAACCATAAACCAGTGAACACCCTTCAAAAACTTTTGAACCCCAACCACAAACCACTGAACACCCTTTAAATACCTCTGAACCCCTTACAAAAACTTCTGAACCCCAACCGCAAACCACTGAACACCCTACAAAAACCTATGAACCCCCTACAAAAACTTCTGAACCCCCTACAAAAACTTCTGAACCTCAACCACAAACCATTGAACACCTTTCAAAAACTTCTGCACTTGAAGACACTACTCAAAATGCCAAATGTTCAGATATATAAATTATAAAGTAGAGAATGTCAAAATTTTAATATAATTAAAAATATATAGATCTATAAAAAAAATAAAAAAAAAGTTCATAAGTAATGTATCTCATGTTCAAAATTATTATAAAGATGTTCAAAAATACCTGTCGGTAAAAATATGTATTTATAGGAAATGTATCATACGTTCATATTTTTAACTTAAATGGTTCAAAATACTAAAATATAATCAAATACAGAACTGTTCATAACAAAATACACAATAATCACTAAAAAAAAATCAAAAGAATATGAAAGCTACATATCCCAATACTCAAACCTAGCCATGGTGATTTAGATAATGAAATCTCACCGGAAAATAATCATCTCCGTCATCTTAACCACCTTCTCCTCGACGACAGCGCCATTTTTAGCTTCACTACTTCATTGTAAAAACTTCATCCATTAACAAAGGCTTCAAATCGAAGGTTGAAGAAAACAAAATTTGAATTTAATCTATAATAACAAAGGAATTCAATTTATGATAATCAACTATGATGATGAAGGATTTTAATTAAAAGGATGATGAATGAATTCAAGAGAGAAGAAAATAAAATAGAGAGAAAAATAGAGGAGAGAGAAAAATAAAGGAGAGAGAAAATAAAAGAGAAAGAAATCAGAAATTAGGAAAGTAGAGGAGGAAAGAGAAGAGACAATATATTTTTATTGGTGGTTCACATAGAACTAGATGCACCATGGTTCATATTATAATTTGCCATACTTGTACTTCGTATATAGGAGTGTTGTTGGGGTTTTATAACCAAGTAGAAGGTCTTTTTTCGTAAATTTGGGGTGCAAGTGGATTTCCAACGAACTCTATGATAGGGTTACTTAATAACAAGGAATGGTAACAACAAAATGCTTGAATCCTCTCGTAGAGGTCTTAGGACGTAGGCACGTAGCTCACGTAACATTTATTTGGAAAGATTCTATTAATTGGGATTTGTGGTGTTTTAAAGTTAGATTATTTGGAGTTTAGTAAGCTCTAGTATCTGGATTTCCGAGTTGAGGTATCCAAATGTGTAATGTGTTTTTAAGTCCGTTTATTCACTATTAAAATTGCAACCTTGTAATTCACGTTATTGTGGGTATTTGGTTGTAAAGTGTCAATACATCTCCTAATCTTCT